TGAGCTCTCACCCTGCAGGTGGCTCCGGGAGTAGCCGATCAGGAAAGGCAGCAATCCAGTAACTTCCTCCTTCAGACAGGAAGTCTCCTCAGCCAGCCATGAGCACAGAGAACGGAATGTGGCGAAAATGAAAGGGTCACCATATCGACTCTGATCGACCTACGAGAACAGGAAGTGAAGAGGAGGAGTGTTTTAGTAACTAAACTCTGAGGAGGCTTGTGGTTTTACAGTACAAAGAACCATTATTGTTACTGGACAAATCTTAATGTGAATAAAACCTTTTGCTACTCTCTCTCCTCAACTGGTATAACACAAAAGTATGTTAATATATGACAAGTTCATGAATTGTTTTACACTTATACTTTCAAAACCTTCCTTGTCTGCCAAAATCTTTCATTTGTCCTTTTTTCCCCCTGGCACTGCATATTTGCCTGCTTATAGGAAGAGCTGTAAATAACAGTTTCACTATCAATGAATCTGCCATTGCATTAACTGGTTCATTTTTTGGTCTATAAAACATCAGGAAACAGTGAAACCGTCCATTACAGTGTCCTGGATGTCAGAGTGATGTTATCGAATGTCTTGTTTTTTCCCCAGTCAACAGTCAAAAACTTCACTGTAAAATAAGAGAAACGAAAGCAGTAAATTCTCACACTTGAGAGGCTGTGACTAGGGAATGGGAATCTCACCTGTTGCAGGTGGTACACTACAGCAGAGAAGGCCTCCTCCAGCACCCCGAGGACCTGCCTGCTCTGCTGCAGACTGAGTGACGAGATGGAGCTGTGAGAAGGTGCAGCGGTTTGTGACAATCCCGGACTGCAGGCCTGCTCTATGGCAGCTTCCATGATTCGGTAACAGCCTGAGAATGAGAAGAGGACGTTTAAATAAAAAAGGAGGTTAATCATGTTTAATTAGATATAACTTGCATGATTTCACAACCCTACTTTACTACATGTTTTAAATAAACAAAGGAAAGGGGTTGCATACCACTGAGGACACCAAGGTCATGTCCTCAGTACTGTTTTGGGAAATGTACGTCTTAAATAACCTGAGAAGGACTTTACATTCTACAATTACACAAGTCAGATTCAGGATCCTTAAACCTGATTATTTTAGGCGAAGAACATAAATTGAAATGAAATTATTTCAAATCTCTGCACCAGAACTTTATTTCTGGCACTGTCCAGAGGGCTTTAGAATAGCATTTAGACAATCATGTCTGGAAATAAAATCTCCTAAAAATATATTTTATAACATTCAAATTAATATATAAAATATGGGAAAAGAAAATGTCAACAACTTCTGTGGTAGCCAGTCAAAACTTTCATGGGAGATTACACCGGCTTTGACTTGGACTCTAAGCCCTGCGATTACTAAAACCTTAACTACCTTGACTATGGCCATAAACATGTACATTTAAAATAAGAAAATGGCAGAGGAAGCAGTGTGGGGTAGATATTTTATCTTCCTCAGGTGAGCAGTTTTACTACTTATCACTGTTTTGCTCCATGAAGGAAGATGATAAGAGGTTATAATTTCACCTGTGTTTTTACAATGAAGTTGTGCACTGTTTTGTCTGAAATGTAGCCCATGACCCAAGGGGGAGCTACTTTATATTTTTGTTGTGTGTCTCGATGTCAAACAGCTGCGCATAGATAGTTTGTGAGAAGCTGAACTATTCAGAATTGGCAGATGCTGTAACAACAAATAAACTACCTGTGAGTGTGTGCTGCAGCTCTGGGCTCAGCTCGTTACCAGGCGGTTCCTCCAGGCCCATTCTGACCTCCACACAGGCCCGGTTCACCATTAAGCAGCAGAACTTTGGTGGTCCCACCATCTCCCACCCATACAAATCCAGCAGACATGCACTGAGGACCAGGATCGTCCCAATCTGCCTCGGTGTCAATTTAGCCTGCATCATGGGTCTCAATACCCCCCACACACGGCTCACAGCTCCCTTCAGTTCTTCACTTTCTACTGCCACTCCTATTGGTGGGAGAAACTGCACCAACTGGGAACACATGTCCAGCCTCGCCTGGTCTTTGGACAGGCAGAAGTCTTTAGAGAGCCTGACCAACAGAGTGAGGAGTTCTGCAGGGTGTTTACTCCACACTTTGTCCTTGGTTTTACCTGATAGGAGACAACCAAGCAAGGCAAGCCCCTTCTCATGGCTGAAAGTCTGGTTTTGTTCCACTGCTTGACACAGAGCAGGAACAGCACCCCTGCTCAGCAGCTGGTCAGGACCCCTCGGTAAAGCACACACAGCTGTCAGAACCTGGTAACAGTCAGCAGCCATGGCCTCATCGAGACTGTCAGATGGTGAGGTTTCTTTAGATGGAGATACTCCGTTCGATGTACTGCCATCATCCCCCTTTTGCTTGCTGGTCTTGCTCTCTTCTGCTGATTTTGCCACATTGGCAGGATTACTTTCTGGGCTTGAACTCTCTGCTGATTTTACTTTACTATCTGGACTCTGGTCCATCTCACCAGCTTGGGTCTGTTCCTGGGCAGCCTGTTTCTGCTGGTTTGACACGGGACCATTTGCTAAAATGCCCAGCAGGAGCGGAATGGTTGTGAGGAGCTGGGGATGGGAGGCCATGTCTGGGTCTGTGCTCAGGGCAGCCAACAGAGCTGTGCCCAATGAAAGGAGTTCATGTGGGGGTAAGCCAGAGTTCTCATTCCCTCTGACCGCTGTCACCAAAAGCCGAGCTGGAAGGTTGAGCCCCACTGCCTCAAAGATGCGTCTCAAGGTGGGTTTGTCTAGTTGGCTTGCTGGGCACAAACGAGTGATCTAAGACAGAGAGAGGAAAACAACAACCTAAATCATGGCTACAAAGTACAGGCCTGTTGGTTGTGGGGACTGAAGCACCAAGTTTTCAGACACTGGGCTCTGTAATTGTATTTGGGTATTTAAAAAACATATATTTTCTCAATTACCTCTAGTGTTATTGAACCATCACTTAGGTTTTATCTTCCCAGGTTTGGAGATATACCTCTGTTGTGTTCTGCCTCCATCCCAATACAATGAATGCGAGTGGAATTTCATTTATGGTGCTCACAGCATTGAACAGTCACACCTATTTCCAGAAACAGTGTCCCTCTTACTCTGAATAATCCACATTTGCAACAATTTTCATATGGACTATTTCTGCAGTTATTCACAGCAAGGTGTATTCAAAGTAACAGGGACATAGTTTCTGAAAAGACTTGTTAGTCTTGTTTTTTTTTTTATTGGAAGGGAAATCCCAGAAACGGGTATCTCAAAACCTGGGCAGATAAAACCACAACTAGTGCATTATCATTATTAATCAACATTTTTCCTGTAATTACATATTAGTATTACAGGCAATAGAGTAGCCTGGTTATGATCCTATTTTTGGAGTATCCTAGCTATATGTTTGCTTATGTAAAAAGCACATCCTCGTTACTAGTTTGATTGAAAACATAATGCTGTAGCATATAAACACCATATCCAGGTTTCTGATCATACTTTGCCATGTTTACAGGTGTGTCCTCAACCCATGATACATATTTTTTTAGTAAGTAAATCTAAAAATATCAGAGTAAATCATTTTTGGTTAATCTATACCCTGAAATGAAAATGAAGTCTCATTTGGGTAATACAGAGGATAAACTTTTTCCTTGCTTTGTCTTAAATTACTAGTGATCATAGGGAGAAGTTAAGTACAGCAGAGTGGTAACTGGAGGAGTATACAGCTAGAAACCAACCTGGTTTCACACTCAACTGCAAACCAGTCAGTCACTTCAAGGACACAGATGATCAAAAACGTGGCTACTAACATTATTAGAATCACGTACGCACAAATATGAAAAGTCAAGTTTCTCTATGATTTAAACACCCTCCTGAATATGATTAAAACCAGGGTAAATACTACTCAATAGGGGCAGTGGTATTTCTGAGTTACTTCACTGAATATATTTACTTACCAACAGAAGAGCAGCCAATGTTTGACTGTCATTTTTAGCATTCCTGAGAGCATGAAGACACCTCTCCAACACCTCTCTCTGGGTATCAGTCAAACCACCTTCACCTCCTGCATCCCTCTCTGTGCCTCCTCCACCCTCTCCTCCTCCCTGCTCCTCTTTTCCAGGAGGCTGGCTACTCACGACGGGTGTAACGTCGGCACTATCAGCCATTATGACCTTGGTGACTATGTAACCAAGAGAGAAATAAAAAGTAGCGTTAAGCAAGCTTAAAAAAAATATTTTAAAATCATGTTATTAGCTCTACAACATTGAGAGCAACGGGAGTAGCCTAATTTAATGATGTCCAGTTGGTTTGCTAAGTCCTTCTAAATAACCGTTTGTGAGAATTTAAGATTTTGAATTTGAATTTGTTAACGTTCATAAAATAACTTACTTTATACGCAGCCCGCTCACGCGCGACAGCAGCTCGTGAGCACTCCCGGGAAGTAGGCTGTCAAAATAAAGCTTCAACAAACCAATGAGAACAGTCCACAAATGTTAGTGAACCAATCACAATGGAGATAGTTGGAAGGCGGAGACGCCATTTTGGTCCATGTTGCAACGTCAGAGAAGCGACGCTACTTTATGTTTGAGGTCAAGAAAGTAGATTTTACTCGTTTCCTGGTTTGTAGCACTAAAATATAACATGGAAGTGACTAATTTTTAGCGGGATAACTGTTTATGTTAAGCTCAACCTGTTCGACAATGATAGCTGGTCAGCAGGTGGCGCACGGCGGAAGTAGTCCGATTAACCGTTTTCAGTTTCATTTTAGACGCTCAGGCAAAATTAGAATTAAAATAGGCTTCTGTGTAAATAATATGCTTTATAGCCTGGTTTACGTACTTAATACTCTTTCTGAAAAGTGTCGTTAATTTTAACCACCGTGTTTCTATCTACAGCAAAATGTTCCAAGGGTTGATTCACTAAATGCTTTATTTTGAAATTTCAGCCACCGGAAGCCTCATATGTCACTCGAACTGGCTTGACATCGGGCACACAGGCACATCAGCTGTACAAGCAAAAGGAATACTGACCCAATTTATTGTACCAGGGACAACAACCTCGACGACACAACACTTCACAGCGACCGACCGAAGTGAAAGCCTGTACCATTTTCTGTTACTGTAAGTCGTTGTGTACTTTTCTGTCTTAAATAGTGTCGTGACAGTTGCCATTAAAACGCACCGGATGAATCCTGCGCGGTGTGTAGTGAAAGAGGGATGCCAGCAACTGTTAGCCTCAAGGTGCCTTAAACGGGAGTGAACCCGGATTATACAGGTGAATTACCGTATGGTGTTCTGCCTCAAGATGTATTTCTAAGCACTGGAAGGCAGATATGCTTTGTAAAAAACAATCTACTTGATCAAAAGTGTCATATTATTGATTCAGTTCTCACTCCTTTATAATTTTGTGATAGTGCATTGGACTACGCAGGCTGGAGATATCGGCCTATATTGTAATGATCTGACAGCTAGTTAAAGACATCCTGTCGTGAGTAAACCCTGGCTGTTGTTTTTAGCTGGTAAAATACATAATGCAGGAACCCACCATTTTAGATGAAATGTCTCAGAGATATTATCTCAGTACGTTTACTCCTGCAGTTCATTTGATTGATAGACCCTCATTTGCAGTCAATCATGCACTTATTTGCACTTTAATCGGTCAATTAATCCCTACTCTATATGTATGATTGTATTGTATTGGCTAGTTATTTTCTTTTTGTTATTTTGTTGTATAGATTAATAATTTATTTGATAAACTAAAAATAGATTAAGGTCTCAACACAGGCCACCAGAGCCCCAAGTGATGCTCATTATTTAGACAGATCAAGAAACTTTACTCAAGCAACTGTTAAGTCTTAATAAATCATCTTTTGGTGATCTTTTCATCCCTTACTCAATTTCTTATGACAGTTCATTTTGGTCCTGTATAGTCCCGCATAGGAAATCTTACTAGAACGTATTCATCCATCAGTGAAGAGAATGAAAACCATCAATTAGCACAAGTGATATCCAACAGAGGCTAAACCAGTAAGTGACAGCTAACACTGCCAAAACTGCATACTGTTCTTGCTATTTCTGTAAGACAAAATAAATACAAGGAATCAGAAAAATGCTAAAAAATTAGTTGTAAAAGCACAAGGCAAGCTATGGTATGATTCATGTGGTGAAAAATCTGTAAGATGGTAGAGAATAATATTGTTAATATACAGTAAGAGGTTGTATTCAATTGTAAGGTTAGCCTTCTGTATAAGGGTCTCATTGTGTATTCATATATTTTTTAATCTCCTATTATATAACTATACAAGGGGGTTTATGGTGTTGCTGTGATACTTGTATAGCATCTATTTAAATATTATCCTAGGATTAGAACTGCTGCTGTTGCTGTAAGCATGTTTCTGTATTTGTCACGGCAGAATATGGGGTTTATTATTATTTTGTTGATTTTTCAAGCACTCTGTCTGGGAGAGAAATAAAAACAACTTCATTTTCCTGCCCTGTAGCCACCAGAAGAAACAGTGCGTGGGACTTTGTATCCACCAACCTGTCTGCCTAGAAGCCAATACAACTATTGACTCGCGCAACTGAGAGAGAGGAAGAGGAGGAAGAAACGACCAAAGAGAGAGAGAGAGAGAGAACTTGTCCTCCCTGGATATAAGGGGTTTTTGGTCACAGAGATCATTGTTCTGCAGAAGCCTCTCAAGGGTGAAGATCCCATTGAAAAGTCTGTAATGGCTGAGCTGTCATCAGCCCAGGTGACCGAGTGCACCTGAGCATTGCTGCTGCACAGACTCAAAGTCACCACCAGCCTCTGGGCATTTACTGCGCAGTAAAAAAGGAAATCCACACTGCTGCGACTTCAGCAAGAAGGAGAAACGTGACTGAATCCCTCACATTTTTTTTGTCTGGATTATTTTTACCTGGAGATTTTTTCAATTCATTTTTATTTAGGTGGCTTACCTGGGATAGAAAAACAAGTGCAGGAGGACAAATGACTATTTGTGGAGTTAGGACTGTCTGAGCTGAGCTGCTTTGGCTCAAGCATCAACGAGCAGGAATGCGAATTCACATATGGAAGCAGAATATACAGGTTTGTGTCAGCAGTTTGTTATAATTCAATATTTATATCTGGTATTTGATAATATAATGCCTCATCTGATTAGTTTATAGTGATTGAATTATAATTCTTAAACTGCTGTGGTATTGCTGTAGGATTGTTTCAGGTACATATTTTTATCTATATTTCATTATATTTTGACTCGGTTGTGCTTCTTAAACAGCATCATTCTCAAATGTGTAGTAATAATTCAGTTTTAATGGAAATAGTATTGTGTGAGATACACAGAATTTCCAGTTTAGACAAAATTATGTGTTTTCATCAAACTACAGAGGTCATCAGGTATCTTGTACACTTTACCTACAAAGTGGTAATTCTACAATGGATTACATCATCTGCATGTCGTAAACACAGACCAAGGGACCTAGAGTAAAATTTCCAACCATATGAATATATAGCATCTAGCTAACTTTTATAGACTGTCTGCACAGCAGATGCTTGTGAAAGCTGCGTGATTTATTACCATATTGCCCCATAGCAGTCTCCTGGTGAGACGTTGTGGGGAACAGGCCTGCTGATGCCTTGAACACAGTGTCCCAGGACCTGCACTCTTCACTCCCCTTCTTTTTTTTTTAATCCCTTTCTGCTGTAAGAACTTGCAGGAAATTTAAGAGGTAAAAAAGTGATGAATGGCTCTTTTACTCAGACTGCCTCCACGCATTCCTCATCAAATCCTGAATCGGCCTTAGTGAGGTGTTTAAGTAATGTACTCAAATGAACTGAATTCACCTTTTGTATCTCAAGACATACACACAGATTCACAGAAGCAGAGGAACATACAGTAATGTTAACTCTTCTCACGAGTGCAGTACAACAATCTGTGTCTTGCTCCTTTTTTGTGACTCATTCAGCAAGTTAATTATTCTCTATCATGATTTATTGTCCTTACTAATTACTTTGTAATGAGAAGCTTCCTCATCACACTTCATGCAGGAAAGAACATTATTACGTAGTTAACTCTGGGTTCTTGATGGCCTGTGACTGTCTTGAGCATAATTTAAGAAATATTAAATTTTCTACTATGCTATCAAATTGGATAAAGTAGCTGTTTATTCTGCAATTGCAGTTACACCCCTTTTGCATCAAGGATTCATGTTCAAACTGTATCCTACATGGAGCTGACTCTTGACTGACCTTATATTACCCAGAGTGACTCATAAAGACTGAAAAACATTTTTTTAAACAAAAGTATGGCGGGCTAGTGAGGGACACATTTGTTTTGATAAAACTACTGTATATTGAATGATTGCTGAGATGATTGCAGAGGAGAGAGATATGGGCTTAGGAGAGATCTAGGAACATTTATTTGATTGCATACAGCAGTCCTCTAAAATGTAATATTCCCAGATACCAACCACTAGTCATTTTCATATGCATTATGACCATACAGGCTGGGTAATAGGTTATAAAGCTCCAAGAGTAGACACATAAGACAATGAAGGACAGATTGCATAATGTGTTGAGCTATGTCTCTGGTTAAGGCTGAGGGACTAGAACCTGTCATAGAAGTAAATACCTGGTACCAAAAGTGAGTGGAGTGGTACCATGTGCTGGAAAAAAAATACTTTATTTATCTTTTTATTTTCCTTTTTCCCTTCCATTTTACTTCAATTAGTAGTTACAAGGAAGGTGCTCACAGGATTATGAGTTATTTTACACCTCTCCAAGAGTTACTGTCAACAGGAAATTGGCAGAACGCTGCATAATGAAACAAACTTGTGTTTGTTATATCCTCATACAGAGAACATAATACTTGTATTTAACAGGCCACAGAATTTGTGAATATTTGAGAAATTGTTTCCTCTGTTCTCTTGAATAGTATCTGCCATTGATGATACAAGTAACATTCCTCTGCTTTTCTCTCTCAGCACCTCCAGACAAAGCCATTGAGTCTTATTTGCATGAATGTTTGTCATCAAGTTGATGTGTTTATAGGTTGTTGAAATTCTTCAGAGTGCTTCTCTATAGAGCTGAAGCACTGTCATTTGTCAGTAATCAAGGCAGAGGAGGAACAACCCGAATAATTCATATGAGGGGCGATATGGCTTAAACCACTTCAACCAATATCAGACATAGTTCTTCTCATGTGTAAAACAACCAATTTTGTTAAACTATAATGACATTTTAAGTGAAGTATTAGTGTTTAAAACAGAATTTTGTAAAAAGGTGTCACATTGATCATATTAAAAAACATTTTGTCTCAAAGTTATACAGTAATATTGAAATATTTCCTAGCCCAATATGGCCACCCATTTGTCCAACTTGATATTAATAGTAATCTATGATCAGTGAGTGTAATGATTCTCAACCCAAAACCGAAACTACTATACATAGGTTCTCAATCTTGTGCTGTGATACCAGAAGATGGAACTGCGACACCTCCCCCAACCCTCTGCCGCTGTTGCTGGTGCATCCTGTTGAGCTCTCATTATGTTACTAATGTAACAAATTCATTTGTCATTTCACAGTTAACATTATAACATGTGTCAATCACAAAATGATTAATCTATTGGACAAGCTGTAGTTGGGTTAAATTAGGACAAACTGTATATTTTGTAAATATCAAACATGAGCCCTATTTTATTGTCTTTGTGATCATGCCTGATGGATAATAACACTGAGATTGCACATTGAAGTCAGCAGTGTGGGGAACATTTTGGTTATATAATAAAATACAAAACAAACAAACAAAAAAAAAAGATGTCTGAACCGAACCATGGATTAGGAGAATAAACATATTAAATGATTTCTCTCTCTGTCCTCCCCTCTCTAGCATAGTGTTTGAGCAGCTGAGCCTGTGAAGGCCCCAGAGGCGGCCATGTTGAATCTTTTTCTCAGAGTGCTGGTGTTGACCCGTCTTCACCCATCACCTCACATCACCTCGCTGCCAACCTAAGTCCTCGCTGCCCCTCTCTTCCTGCATCTCTTTCTTCCACCTCCTGGCTGGGAGAAAGGTAAACATGGTGTATTTCGCAGGCTGCAGTTCTTGTTTAGTAGGCGTGCTTGGCTACTTTTTGGCATTGAGTGTTAGTCAGACCACACTTCAATGGTTGATGGGAGGGGTCTGAGAACCAGATGTCACACTTACTGTTATGAAATTAAACTCTTAAAATCACTAACTAATCTTGTGCAATTGTGTGAGCCTTTTGCTCCATTGGGCTTCTCAACATAGATTGTATTACACTTTGCAATGCTACGTTTATTTAGTTACGTAATTTTTCTTGTTTTGTTTTGCTTTGGTGGGCAATTTTTTTTGTTCCAGCTCCCCATAGAAGATATACTGGATGTCTCTGTGGCTGCATCATTTACTTCAAAATAAAAAATGGTGTATTGAGGAACTTTGGGATATGCACTAGAAAATCACAATGAAGTTTTGCGAGTTTAAACGTTGTTTGGCTGCACAGCATGAGTTTGTCCTGACTGACCTAGTGGTGGGTAAGGAGGATGAAGTGCACTAAAGTCATTCTGTTTTCTTTTTCCAGGTCTTTGGTCTTTGAAGAAAATGTCCTATGCACACCACAAGCTGCTCACCTGGAGCTTACCTCACCTCCTCCTCCTACCGCTGACCTACCTCTGGCTCTTGGGTCCTACCACAGGTAAAATAAACCATTTGTCACCCTGAGCGCACCTGGCAAAAACACTTTGTTGACAGAGAAGTGATAAGGAACCTAACATCTGTGACCGTTAAACTATCAGCATTCATCTGCACAGTAGATTCACACACCTTTGATTACTCAGGGTGCGTCTTCATCCGTCTTAGAATTGTATGATGATAGTTGGATGGTTTTAGGTTGTTAATTGGTATTTGCTGTTCGCTGTTCGTCTAATCTGAGGCAGGCGGATAGAGGACTGTTGGCACCCCTGCTGTGTGTGTGTGTGCGCGCGCGTCTTCTTTCAGATGCCACTCCACTCAGTGGGTTACAATGTGAAACAGGACAATAGGGGCTCTGTGGATAGACATTGTGAATGTGTGTGTGTTTTGAAGGATGGGGGCAGAAGAACAGTGAACAAGGGGTGGGATGACACCCCTTTCTCAAACAAACTATAGTGCTTTTGTGTGTTTTTGTATGCGGCAAGACCTGTGTTTTTCCAGACTTGAGTTACACTGACGTCCTGTAAAGTCACCCTTGGCTCTAGTGTTGCTATGGTAGCAACAGTTACTGGTATAGCACTGTCTGAGATGGTCTAATGAACTGCATTTTTGTTGTTTTGCTTTCCTTTTGCTTTTGTTGATGGCCCTGACATCAGCAGGACAAACTGTTGCTGTTACTTGTGTTTACAGAACACCATCAAAAGTGATAATTTTTAAAGTTATAATCCTAAGAGTTTCATGAATTTAAATCCCATTTTTGATACTATTTATAGATGGCATTTCAGCAGTAGCCATCCAGTGCATTTACATTCTGTAATTACCTCCCTATACAGTATAGTAAAGTTGTAATTGTTTCTGTGCTGGATTCAGATTGCATTCTTATACATGAATGATTCACAGCAAACATGCATGCAGGTAATCCAGTGTACACATCAAGACATGGGCAGTTTAGGCATTCTTGACAGAGGATCAGTCTTAATTATTTCAGGAAGTAGTGAAACAGGGAGAACCAGCCACAGTGAGCTGTCAGATGAAGGGTTACAGGCTCCAATTTCTTAGCAAAGTAATCAACTCTTTTTACTCCTCCCTGCTGCTGTTAGGAAAGCTGTTTGAGCCTGTGCAGCATGAAATCAGTTCACAGATGCTCATGGGGTGATGGAAAAAAGGCAATTATTTACTTCTTTATTAAAAGAACACAGTTTTGTTTGGCTTCACTCTGAATAGATAAGTGCATCTATTCATGTTGATCCACTGTTTTATATCTGACACACTAACGTATGTGATCACACGTTACTTGTTAAGTGTGATCATTTACTGTACTATATCAGTATTTGCAGTATAGGATTGCCACCTTGTTTGTGTATGTTCACACAGTGTATTGCTTCTGCAGGTTGAGCATTCAGAACTGCAAGACAAAACCCAGTTCTTTTTCATTGCAAATGTAGTTTTCTTAATTCACAGAGTGACTCAGCTGTACTCCTTTTTTTGGGCTATTATTCACAGCTCGTTTGGCTCCTGTCTTTCTGTGGACACACACTGAAGCACTGGTGAAATATAACCTCCAATTCTCCCCGTGTCACATTTTACAGTACACTGTCGTATTTTGTGAACACTGCTGTTTTATTGTACCTGGCTACACAACAAATGTCTCATCTGGGACAATGGATGGATTGAATTAAACTAATTTGATAAAACAAAAGGTTGAATAAAAGTAGTTTTATCACCCAGACCAATGCTCTTGAAGAGGAATACACACATACAACAGCTTAATGTCTCAGGTCACTGCACTGCTGATATGAGTCTGATATGGTCTGGCTCAGAGGGTGGAGTTTTGTGCATACTGCATACTGTGCTCTGGGTTTTAATCAGTGTCTTGTTTTGTCAGGGAAAAGCCTCACTTCCTCTCTCTGTTGCTGAGTTGGCTGACTGCTCAAACTGCGGCTGCATGTTGGCTTTTCAGAGAAATGTTCAGTCAGAGCTTAATCTTTGAAAAGTCTCACTGGTTGGGACTGGAATTCATTGTGGGTTTCACTTTGCCCCTTCGCCTTTGACAATGCCAACAGTACCCAACAATGCCCTGATTGATAGAAAATAGTGAAATCTTGAAAAGCCTGGGAAGCACTGCCCATTGGTGGATCCATAATGTCCCCCTTGGCAGATCCCCTTGATCAAACTATGTGCTACACTAAACTCTCTCTAGAATTTCCCTCAGGGGAAACCAGTTTATAATCTTAAACTGTTATACTCCCTCTCACCCTTATTTCCTGACCAACTTTCCTCTTCTTTTATCCATGACCTTGTTGCACAGGGATTGATCTCTCACAGTGATTGACGGGTAGTTACTCATATCAGTACAGTACATCATCATTTACTACTTCCGTCTTCTCTTTTGTACTCGTCCAGGTGTGTCAGCAGATCTCTGCCGGGTGACTGGCGGGGTGCTGGGGATCCACTGGAGCAGCATCATCAGCCTGGGTTGGCACCCTCTGGCAGACGGGAGAGGCGGGGCAACATGTTGGGAGTCCTGCTGCCTAAAGCCGAGCTGCAACGCCGTGTGGAGCCTCGGTGGGCGCTGTGTGCTTCTTAGCTGCTCCCGGAAGAGGGGCTGCCCCATCGCTTCCCTGCCACAGCCTCACCAGGAGTCCCTCGGCCTCCTTCAGCTGCTCTCCAAGGTATGTTTGCTGCTGGCTGACCAAGGTGTAACAGAAAAGACTTTGTATGCTAAGGAAACAGTGTTCAGTATTATTCATATGACCATTTATTGGTGGTTTATTAATTTTTTTTCCTTATAGTCTAATTTGACTTTTAGATTGTTCTGTTATTGATTCAACTAAATTAGATTACCAAAAGCAGGTACATTAAACTTAAAAAAAAAAAAAAAAAAAATAGACTTACCGCTGGTGACAGAAATATATTCATAGTAGTTTTTTCTAAAATTCTTTGTCTGTAATTTTGCTTTAAGGGTCCTGTGACAGCCAGACGTAGAAAGGCTCGTCATGCACCACATACAGGAAGCCACGGACCAAGCACAGGATACCTTACCAGCACGGTAACTTAACAGAGTATTGGTTGATTTTCAGTGTTTGTATTTAATCTTATCTTCGCACTGTTTGATTGTAGCAGATGCTGTTCTTCCCCTGTCACTGTTATTCTTTCTTAAATCATTCCCTCCTTCATTATTTGAATCACACTGATTATTAGTCAAATAAAAGTGTGGTGGAGGTAGTTTGGGGGAATATGAAAATTGAATTTATGATATTTTCATAAAATCTATTTAAATGTAGACAATGTGGTTGTATGCTCCCCCAAATTCTTTTCAAATTTGTTTCTTGTTATTGTGAGTTCAAACCTACAATTTTGAACTGTATCTGCAGGAAAATCCTAAACTGGAAACAGCTCATCCAACTCCAACTGTACTTAGCACCATCACTCTTCTTCAGACAGCCCAAAAGAACCTGAGTCAGTCAACCAATGGGAGTTCAGACACTGCTCCAGCTCCATCACAACAAAACTCAACGGTGGATGACACTGTTGATACTCATGCGTCTTCCAACAGCAGTGATGTCAGCTCACCCACAGCAACTGAAACTGCTATCATCACAACTCCAACACAGGCTGGTAAGGAAGCAATCATCTATTTCAAGCGCATTCAGTAATATGTCTTGTCTTCATTTATTAATTATGAGCTAATATATAATGTAACAGCACTGTGGTTGTGCAGCCTTGGAGGAAGATTTTGCATGACTTTCACGTCTTGTCTTTACCAAAGTTGGTCAAATACATTTTTGTCCTTTTTGTCACACATTTGACATTGGTAAAACTGTTCCTTCTTTGCTTTTGCTCCAGCTGAACAAAGATGTACTTTGCCCACAAATTATTATGGCAGACTGCACAGATGTTATTTTTCCCAGATGAAAGAGACGTGTCCTGTGAGTGTGAAGCCAAATGAGTCTAATCAATAGGAATGTGCTGAGACATGCTAGGCTTCTACAAACAGGAATGACTTGTATGATCAGTTTCTCCTCCCTTAAGGAAAATATCCCTGTTTATCCGACATTAACCAAAAAATGACAACAGACAAAACAACGCCTGTCATTACAGATAAATTCCTGTTTGGTCTTTTAACAAACAATGGATTCATTAGAGATTAGAAGCTGGCTGGACTGGTTTAAATGTAAACTCAGAAGCTGTACAAAGCTAAGATGCAGTTTAGGAGGAACTTCGACTTAGACAAAGCAAGAACCCTGTGATTGTTAAAGAGAGCATCTCAGATTACCATTGCCACCTGATGCAATTTACACTTTGATTTAAAGAGAAAACAGTTTTACACAATGATCAGTTTACTTGTCCTGTGGATTAACACTCCAGCAAAAAAACATTGTATAAAATATCTGTGGTTCTGGGGCTGCATTGGTTGTCATTCTTTGTGCAATACAAACATGCTGATTTATTTTTATATCTCTTTCTTTTTTCTCTTTCTGTCTATTTTGAGGCAGCAGAAACAAGCTATGAATACAAATAAATACATATTATGACCCAACTTTTTAGTAAACAGTCACCTATTTACATATCCAATGATATCGATGATCGATATGGAGGAACAGTAACACTCATTTTCAGTCTTGTTTTGGGCCACCTGATGTATGTAAGTTCAATGTCCCTCTCCTTCTATCTCTGTTTTTGGTCTCCACCAACTCCACAGAGAAATATCTCTCTTTAGCTGATAAATGCTCCATTATGTTCACCAGATGGTCTCTACTGGTGTTGATTGGTGCTGAGCAGGTAGTGTACAGTGCATTTTAGAGGTTAGAGTTACTGAAAACAGCTGACTTCTACATCTGTAACCATTGCTGATGACCAACCAGAGGGGGAACCATGACAATAATGTTGCAGACAAGAAAACCAAAACAATGAGCAGGAAGACACTGAAATGCTCTGTAGAGCTGAGAGGAACTGCCATAGAGATAATCAAATACAAAGAATTACAATTATAGTTTATTTTTTAATCATCATTTGGTAATATAAAATTTCTTTGTGTAATTGATCCTAATATAATATATAAGTGTATGTTATTTATTCACCTCTTGCTGAATGCTCAGTTCTCTGACTACTTCCAGTCTTTTGGTTGCCATGCCAACCTTGTGGTTACCATATTTTTATTTTGGCATCATCCCTGATCCTGCGTTGCCCTCCACAGTGAGGGAGCTGGTGGTGTCAGCAGGGAAGAGTGTGGAGGTTACATTGCCCCGCAACGAGGTTGAACTCAACGCCTTTGTGGTCCCAACACCCCCGCCAGGTAAAACCATTTGGTCTAAAACATCTACTGACAATGCTGATGAAATGTTATCAAAAGAATTTTAGTTTCTGTTTTGAAATGACAAAGTCTTAAACCTGTGTAGTTAAGATCAATTTTACACAAAGGCTCATAAATCAAAATTGGCTAATGCTTTTGTAACGAAACTCGGTGTATGTCTATAGACCTTAAGTCGTACCATTGTTATTGAGTCTTGGGATATTCTGCCACCAGGGAGCGCTACAAATGAGAAGAGTTTGTGTCTCAGATTCAGCTGCATAGATTCATACAAAATTTGGTTTATATGATCTACGGTCATTACTCAGTATTTGAATACTTGCGAGCTGCTTGGACCCCGATAATTGCCGCTAGCGGCTATATTTTATCTTGGTTTAGTTTCATGTTTTTGATTTAATACTTTTATTCCTTGTTTTTAATGTAAAGCAATCTATAACTGTGTTTTGAAATGTTACTCCTAGCGATTGTATTCAAGTTGAAAATTAATTCAACATTTATCCTGTTCTCAGCAAAACATTAGAATCACAACTTAAACATAGTTTTGTCTCATTCCATAATGAGTTTGCAGGCATTTTTCATATCAAAAATTTCCTAGAAAATCAATCAAATAAAAATAAATAAATGAAAATAATATAAAACATATTCATATATTTTTTTATTGTTGTTTTATTATTTATTATTGAGCACAGTTCACATCAAGCCCAGATCAGTAACCACCCCATCACCAAGACAGAAAGAAAAATGACGGGACGGGGCAGAGAAAGGGGGGGGGGGGGTTCTTTGGCAGTCAAAACGTGAAGAACTGGTCTACTGCCTACAGATTAGGCATCAGCTTTAAACCGGCCCTTGAACTGCCTTGGTGAAATGGGTTAAGTATGTCACAGGGCTGTCTAATAGTCATTCTTGTTAATGTAAGTCTGGGTCCGACTTAAACTCACAAAACTAACATTTATAGGAATGACATGGAATGAATTATAGTTGAAGATTAGTTCTTTCTAAGTTTAAAGATGGAAGTATCTCGTTTCTTCACCTTGCCGAAGAATTTGCCGATTCTTTGGAATACATTCTTCTGGCGGGCTCCATCAGGGCCAGTCTTCCCATCATCAGCATCAGCATCCAAATTTCACTGACACTCAATGGCTCCCGCTCCATCAGGTCCCAAAGACTCCTGTCTAGCATTTCGAAGGACAGACAAGAGAGGTAGTTGAACCTGAAATTCTCCATGAATCTTACAATGTTGTTTTTGTCTGGGTCAAGAGCCCTGACTGCCTCTAGTATCGCCACTTCCCTTTGAATGACGTGATCTTCATTCTCTTTGTGGATTTTGATTGCCACCATTTTGGCCATGATTAAGTCAAAACACTGGGCGACTTTGCCAAAACATCTCTCTCCATTAAAATCCATTATCAGGTAGCGAGTGTTATCGCTGTGGAGTGTATCCCGTTTCTTTACAGGAAAAGGTGCATGTCAGGTTGTGGAAGGCATTTTTTACAAAAAAAATTTTCCAAATACTTTTCGAAAAGCAGTATAGTTCACTTGTCCTACTGTGAAGGCAACGAGAATGTATCTCACCAAGATAAACGTTCTATATATGTGTATGATCTGATCGATCGATGATGTTATAAACAGTTCCAGGATCACAGTCAAAAAATTCACAGAGTTCTGAATGAATGAATGAATGAATGAATTAATTAATAAATAACATTAAATTATATTCATTCATATATATATATAATTATATTAATATTAGACTTTATATAAATATATCACACATTAATATATATAATATCAAATTATAAATAGTATTACGTTATTAATTAATGGATTCATTAATTATCATCATCAATTATCATCCTTGCTGCATGTCATCCCTTCTGTCTCCCCTGCTTTTCCTGTTACTCTTCTGTGTCTCTATCAAATATAGCAGAAATGCTGAGAAAAAAAACACACAAAAGAAAACAAAATAGATACATGACAAATACACAAAAGTCTGCACACTTTTAAGTCATCCCACTGAGGTTGAGCACTTTTAATTTTCTTTTTTACTGGTCCTGTTGTTCTGTCAAGTCAAAGTACACAATAAATGAAATTAAGATAATTTTAAAATTTTAATTTACTGTTAATAGTTTAAACACTTAAAATGTGACTTATAGCTTCACATTATTATTATTATTGTTATATATTTATTATTATTATTTTTGTTGTTCTGGAAAATAGTTTGACTTTTTTATGCGGCTTAGGGGCACACACATTCAGTATGATGTCCCATTTTTGGTGTTCACTGATGAGTGATGAATTTAAACCTGTTTGACAGTTGTATTCCTGAGTCACATCAGCATCAGCGTCCTGTCATACTAAACACCTGCCAGAGAATTTCAAATCCAGACTGGATAAAGATTACACGGTTAGGAAGAGGAATGCACGTCATAATTTTGTTAATCCTTTGATCCCTTCTTGACATGCTCTTAAGATACCAAAATCTTTCAACTGGAAATGATCTTTATCGGGTAGATTTTAATTAAATGCATGAGCCGTTTAGTTGAGTGAACTGATTTGTTTAATGTTGCTACTTCTCTAAAGGGACAAACTATGCATTTGACTGGCGTCTGATAACACATCCCAAAGATTACAGTGGAGAGATGGAAGGAAAGCACAGCAAGACACTCAAACTCAGCAAGGTACAGATCACAACTTTGATATTCATATTCTGCTAAAAATAAAACATGCAGCTGCAGTTCTGCTGAATACATAAACAGACAGTTTCAGTAGCGTGTAAAGGACTGTGTCAAAAAGGTTGCTTCCTCTTTATTCTTGCTTGATTTGCTTGCTTCTCAGCTGACTGTGGGCCTGTATGAGTTTGAGGTGACAGTGGACGGAGAGGGGGCTCATGGAGAAGGTTACGTCAATGTCACAGTCAAACCAGGTGAGGTCGAACATTTATCACAATGTAAAATCGCACTCATATTCTAATGGTCCCAAAAGCTGTTTGCAGGAGTGAGTGTTTATGTGGCCCCGGTCAAAACGAACCAAGGTTACTGCAAACATGAAATAAACCAAACATGGTATAATATACACAACTTGAAGTAAATAGAAATTTTGTGAAGCTCTCATTGTTTGTTTTTTGATTTCTGAGCTGATTTGTTTGAGACTGTATTTTTTAGTGTTAAAAAGTCATCTCTCAGTCAACATGATCGAGGACATGCTTCTGACTCCTCTTCCTCTTTGCTCATGTAGCTTTCCTGTGTCTCCCTTCTTGCTACATCACATAATTTTGTAATCTTTTCAACTGTTGTGCAAAATGTTCAGGCAGTGAGTGACTACTAATTTAAACAAAAGCCTATGTGATCTAAACATCATAATGGCAAATGTAAACATGGAGAAATAGTTGCAAAGAGACACTCACAAATCAACCATCACACTAACTGAAAGAACATCATAATGGCAAATGTAAACATGGAGAAATAGTTGCAAAGAGACACTCACAAATCAACCATCACACTAACTGAAAGACACTTAATTGGATATTTATCACAAACTACTGCTTCAAAAATGATCAACTGAATCATCACCTCCTTACACTATTTTAGAAACAAACTTTATGTACTTTACAGGATGAGTATTAACTGCAGGATTATTGTACTGTAAATGTTATTAACATTTAACTGTTATGTAACTGTTATTTTGAACCCTCAGAAGGCTGGGACTGATATTTGATGGTAATGTCTTTTGTAAGTGTAAATGATATTATTAGGAATTATCAGGAATCAGGGCACAGTTAATGCCTCATGTTTACTAAATAAACTCTGGCCTTACTGCTGCTTTCCTCCCACACAGTTGTAATTGTGACTTTTGCAAAGGCAGCCTCTAACTTGTTGACACTGCCTGAGTCACAAACAGCTGCCTACAGCTCAGTAAGCGAGTTAATTTCTTGTTTTCCACCTGACAGAGCCACGGGTAAACAAGCCTCCTGTTGCCATAGTTTCTCCAAAGTTCCAGGGGATCTCCTTGCCAACCAGCTCTACGGTGATAGATGGCAGCCGTGAGTCTCGCACATGACGCGTGCGCACACACACGCAAATGCACAAACATTTAGCACAAGCTAAAGAGAGAGGCTTTGTGCCTAAAGTCTGTCACCATTTCCTCTCGTGCTGTTGAATGTATTTGACTGACCATTTTCCCTTTTCCCCTCCTCCTCTATGTCCTCCCTCCTATCTCCTCTTTTAAGAGAGCACTGATGATGACAAGGTGGTGGCATGGCTCTGGGAAGAGGTCAAAGGTCCCCTGCGGGAGGAGAAGGTCTCTGCCGACACCCCCGTTCTCACCCTCACCAGCCTGGTGCCTGGGAACTACACATTCAGGTACAGGTGGATCTCACTTATCTCATACAGATAGATAATGCTGTGTTTAGTTTGAAAGGTCCCAAGCATTCCACTCAAGCATTTACAAACAGACACTAAAATACAGTATTAAAAACTGTCAGTATCTTGACTACTCCACCTCATTTCAATATATGTGTCGGTAATAATAAAAGCAGTCACATGTCTGGCTTAAAGTTGAATACATTCTTATTACATGCAAATCAAACTTCTGATTTTATAGACTATTATAAGTATTATTATAGACTTATTATTTAAGTCAGAGGTGAAATTGTTTACATTTCTATTTGCCATTAGGTTTATGTTTCTAACCATTTGAGTGTCCTTCTTTCTCAGTTTGACAGTGACAGACTCAGATGGAGCCACAAACTCGACGCAGGCCACCCTCTGTGTCAACAAAGCCAAGGATTACCGGCCTGTGGCCAATGCCGGCCCTAACCAGGTCTGAAGTGTTTTCCATTGTCATGAATCTGTCCTGTAATACACCAAACCATTTTTAATTGTGTGTGTACAGTAGGTTTATTAAGCCCCTTTTACACTGGACAAAAAAACCTGCTAACATCTGGCTTTTGTCGGCAATGTGAAAGGGTACAATCAGCATTCACTTTCAGGTCAAATGATTTTGTAGTAGTCATGGGTATTTATTGGCACAGCCCTGAAATAAGTTTTAAAAACACTATATCATCCACTGAAGTGTTTAACACGGAGGCTCCGACAACGAGCACCAATCCGTGGATGAGACATGACAAATCCAATTTACCAGTCTGCGTGGCGGCTAGCAGCTCACCCTTTGAATCTTTGAAGATATTCCCTCACCTGCATCTGTGTGTTTGGTCTGTAACTGCAGTGCTCCCTGCAGTTGTGTTTGCGTCCTCTCAGTCCAAACAGAAAGGCAACTTCATCTGGCAGTGTTAAAGCAGTCAATCTCCTTTTTTTAGCGGGTTTATCCAGTTTAAAAAACCTGCTTAAATGTGCTAATTTTGGTGTGAAAGAGGTATTAAACTTGAAAAATGTCAAAAAATCATTTTTTATTTACCAAAGCTATCTACTCCTGACAACTAATAGCTGGTCTTTCCTCACTTCATCCAGGTCATCCAGTTGCCACACAACTCCATCACTCTGTACGGCAACCAAAGCACCGACGACCATGATTCCTTGTCTTATGAGTGGTCCCTCAGCCCTGAGAGCAAAGATAAAGTGGTGGAGATGCAGGTGAGATAGTCGAGGACTATGCACATAATTGAATTCATAATTGTTTCCTTGATTAGAGCATTGTGGCATCTCTTATCTGTGTGTCCTCAGGGTGTACGGACACCAATCCTGCAGCTGTCGGCAATGCAGGAGGGAGACTACACCTTCCAGCTGACAGTGACAGACTCAGCTGGGCAGCAGGACACCACCAAGGTCACCGTCATTGTGCAGCCAGGTAAACAGCTGGACAATTAAAGAAAGAAAAACAGCTCCTGTTTATGCCACCCAAGCACTTTTGAATAGTGTTTTCAGTGAAAAGTTGGGAGGAATATGATAACACAGCTGCTGAGAGGGCATTAATTACAGATTTAGCTTCTTACTTCCTTACAGCACACACTCATTAACTCATGTTATTTGAGTGTGTTTACTCAGCTGTGTGCACTTGTGTACCACTTACAGAGAGACTTGAATTAAACTCCTTATCTTGAGATTTCAAGTTCTCTTCCTCTGTACTTGATATTCCCTGTTTTATATCTCTTTTGCCCTTTCTCTCTCCCACAGGCTTTACACAAATAGACACATGAAGTGTGAAGAGCATACTGAGCGACAGTATATAGTATAGCTGTATTTATTGTTGACCTTCATAATGTGTGAATCTGATGCCAGTAAACTGTTCACAAGAATTTCTATTTGCCAAACCTTTGTAAGAAATGTACGTGCACACACAACCTGATAAGCACCCAGTGTAGACTGTAGACACTGGCGAGACAATCTTTCAGCGTTTGAGCAGGATGTGTGATCTTAATACACATCCACCTGCAAGGTCAGACTGTGTCAGCCATGTGGGTAATAATGTCTGAAAGAAATGGCAGAGTGGTGGTAGTTAAATGCTTTAATTCCAGGTATTTCAGAGCATGACTGCTGTTACATACTGTATTGGATAGTATACAATAGAAATGTTGAAAGAATTGCTGATCAGAAGGAAGTTGCCCTTTTCATATCGTAAAGGTTTTTTTTCTCTACTTATTAGTTCATTTAGTTTTTTGTATGATTTATTGAGAAGATGGTTTTTTCCTTCTCACTTTTCTTTCTCACCTCTGATTGAAATACTGGTCCATCTGTCAAACAACTGATTTGTCAAAAACTGATCTGATTTGAATAAAAGTTAGAGAAATTATGACAAAAACTTTTAGTGTTTCTTCTGTTTAGTGTGTCTTTTTGTTTGTTTGTTTTTTTTACCCATTTATTAGTACTGTATGTTTTCTGTGGGCTGTTCAGTGTAGTAGATGTGTATTTATTTTCATCTTGTTCTTCCAATCTCTTTAACTTCCAGAAAACAATAAACCACCAGTAGCAGATGCAGGACCAGAGAAGGAGCTGACGCTGCCAGTTGATCGAACCACGCTGGACGGCAGTAAGAGCAGCGATGACCAGGAGATTGCCACTTACCACTGGAAACAAACCAGGTCAGTTAGACTCTGGCTTATGGACGCATCTGTTTAGACAGATTTATCATTGCAATCAAGCAACTTTTTTTTTTTTCAGTAAGGTTTACACTTCCAGTTGATGTTGTAGCAAAGAAAGTAGAAAACAATGGTCAAAATTAAAGATACACAATCCCTATAATGCAACCAACTGTCCTAGACCCTGTCTGCCTGTTAAATGTCCATATCTCTCAAACTCTATGTCCTAGTTTGTAAATCAGATTTAACATTAAAAGGGTGTAGTCCCCAGGCCTGAGCTAAGATAACCTTGATCATATCATCAGGGTTACTCTTGCAGATATTAAAAAGCTCACGCCAGAGCAACGCGTGAACAGAATACAACTTGTGAATATAAATGTGAATACAAATGTATAAAAAGCCCCACAGTGTTAAAAGCATTCTGTGTTATCCTAGATTGTTGTTATGTCCTTCTACACTTAATTCTCTTTGACGCACTCTCGCTCTGTTTCTGTTCGTCCATCAGTGGTCCTGCTGATGTGAAGATTGAGAATGCAGACAGTGCTGTTGCCACGGTGACAGGTCTCGAGGTTGGCAGGTACGAGTTCACCCTGACAGTAACTGATGAGAGGAAGCTGCAGAGCACCGACACTGTCACGGTCATCGTCAGAGAAGGTTAGGAGATGTGTGTCTGTGTGTGTGCGCTGATCCTTTTCTCTAAAACAAAAGAGCTGGCTGGGGTTAGAGCAAGACAGGAGAGGATTATGGATGTTGTTATGAAACATGGGTTTGTAGTTAAGGAAGTATTTTAAGTACGCATTTGAAGCTTTTCAAGTGCGTGTTTTAAAGGATAAGTCATTCTTTTCTCAGTATTTTTTGTCTAAGATAAGACAATAGTGAGTTTGTACACTCAGGGCATGTTTTTGAACTTGACATTGTTTTATGCACGGAGTCAGTAAAACCCTAATAGAAATGTTTATTTACTTTTGTCTTTTAGCTCAAGGCTAGTCTCCTAAGAGTCCATAATAAAATCACAATAAAAATATTTTCAGAAATACTGTACAAAACATATGCACATATAGGCTACACACACACACACACCCATACACACACCCTCTCTCTCCGATATACATAAGCTTACCTAGTTACATATGCAGTATATGCACTTATATTCATGTACACACGTACATCCATACAGTATATAGCTAAACTAATGCACACTCACTGACACTGCAGTTATATGAAGTATGGTGATAGCCACAATAAGAAAAACGTCATATTAATCATGTTATAAACCTGTATTTAATGTCTTTTATGATGTTTTTCCACCAGAACTGGATCAGCCACCAGTGGCTCATGTTATGTCAAGTCCACCCATCTCTCTGCCTGTCAAGACTGCCACTCTGGATGGATCTCACTCAACCGATGACAAAGGTGGAGTCAGCTACCTGTGGACCAGGGACGATAGCAGTCCTGCCGCTGGGGTGAGCGTCACATAGTCGTAGCTATTTTGATTAACCCTTTGACTGCATATTAGAAACACTTGTTTGCTCTTATCTTGTTCATAAAAGTTAAAGGCAGCTGGAGTCTAATTGTAAAATCACTTAATCAACAGTCAAACAGCCACATGAGATGTACCTTGTTAGCAAAGGTGTCAGGAAATACAAATTACACGTCTTTAACATCGTTTTTCATTCCAACAGGATGTACTGAACAACTCTGACCACCAGGCAGTGCTGTTTCTGGGAAACCTGGTGGAGGGCAAGTACAGCTTCAGCCTGACTGTAACTGACAGTAAAGGACAGACCAGCATTGACAGGGGCACCGTTGAGGTCAAACCAGGTAAAGTAAACAGACAAACCTACAGTATAAGGACACACTGAGGCTTTCACAATATCATAAAACAACTGTTGCTTCTCTGTCTCTGTGTAGTTGACAGATGGTGGTGCATTGATTGGTGCATAATTAAATAGCAGTAGCTTATACTCACCTTGATTTTGTAGCAGCATTCATTAACAATCGTCAACAAGTGTTTTTTTAATAGGTGATTTGAAAAAAGTCAGAAATTCTATAATTGTTGCTTTTGCTCTGTCCACCGCCACAAACTAAATGCTACAAGTAAGAGCACATTTTGTTGTTATCGTTTAAAAGACATCCTAAAAAATGAAGGAAATCAGTGGCTGAAGCAGAAGTAGCCTTTTATCACAAAATACCTCCTAGGTTGATTACTAATGTTAGTGATAGTTAAAGGGCCATTGTGTATTATTTAGTGGCATCTAGCCGTGAGGTTTCAGATTGCAACCAACTGAAAGCCCCTCCCCTCATCCTGCCCTTTTCGAGCATGTAAAGGAACCTACAGTGGTCTTTAGGTAACGTAAAAATGCGAAAGGCCCTCTTTAGGGCCAGTGTTTTGGTAACATGGTGGTACAACGTGGCAAGCTCCATGGAAACGGACATCCTCCCTATGTAGATATGAAGAGCTCATTCTAATCCAAAGAAAACACAATGATTCTTAGTTTCAGGTGATTATACACAAATGAAAATGTAATTCTAAATCCATTTTTGCTAGAATCCCCCAAATCCTCCACACTGGTCCTTTAAACAAGTCCGTGTACACAAATGGTGTCTACACAGCAAGAGACTCAACAACCAACAGCAGAAGGTTGAGCAGGTCACTGTGCAACATACGGTGCACAGACACACACTCAGCCAGAAACTAATCCGTCACTTGGTGCTCTGGCCTGTTTCCCAGATTTCAGAGAGTCAGATGGATCCTGCAGTCGGCTTGTTTTTCTCATCTCGGTTTCTCCCTCTCCTCGTTACTTTTTCTGTCCTCACTATTCTCCTCTCCACACTTCCCCTCTTTTCCATGTCTCATCTGTGTTTTAATCTGTCTCTCTCTCTCTCTCTCTCTCTCTCACTGTCAGACATGTGGGAACGTGACCTGGTGGAGCTGGTGTTGGAGGTCTCTGTATCCCAGGTTTCGCACCGTCAACGTGACATGCTGCTGCGCCAGGTGGGGGTTTTACTGGGTGTGCTCGACAGTGACATTATTGTGCGAGAGATCAGTGCGTTTAATGAGCACAGGTGAGTTGTTCTGTGCCTTTTTTGATTTACTGATTTAGTTTAGTTTTTGGTCTGAAATCCCCTCATTTTGTAATAATAGATCCGTTTCATGTCCAAATGTTTTCTCAAATTTTCCCTAAAGTCTGAAATCTTTTATTATAACCGCAACTTGACTTTTTTAAGAGTAAATCTGATAATGACACATATAAATTAACCATGAAAAGGCTGGAAGGACATTTTCTTTATTTGGGTCAATTGGTGGACATTACTACACACAGTAAGCAACCATTTTCCTCCTCCTCCTTCCTCCTCAGTACTCGTTTGGTCTTCCTGGTGTCAGGCGGGCCGGGGCGCCCTCCTCTGTCTGGCCACAGTGTTGCACTTGGCCTTCGCAACAAACTGCGCAAACAGAAGAATGACTTTCTCATCTACAAGGCCCGACGAGTTGATACAGTCAGTAAGTACCTGACAAATATGGTTTGTAAGAGACACACAAAAGGAGAGGAACGAAAGGAGAGAGGATGGATGTTGTTTTAAATGTTCTAAATGCCAGACATTAATTAACGATTAGGATTATTTATCATTATTATTATTTTTGTTATTACTAAATAATATCACAGTAAGACAATAACATTTGTCTTACTGTGATGTCTCGATTTTCTCTTTTTGGGATACATTGCTCTGTGTTCACTTTGAGCCAGAGGCTACAGGCAGGTCATAGGAGCTTTGACCTCTATTACTTCAGATAATGGTCAGATAATGAGAGGACCTCATAGAACTCAAAGGTCAAATCTCTCAGATTTTTGAGGTGCCACAACAAGTTATGTTTTCTTCTTCTTAACTCTTCTTCTCTTGCTTCTGTGGTGAAACCTGTAGACTGTTATCTTATTTGATGTACCTACCCTAGATTTATGTTCAATAATATACATATAGTGTGTTGTTGCTCCTTAGTATTCTCAATCTGGTGGCTGCAAGAAACTTCACCACTCTGAGAGATTAAAGCTCCAGTTTCATAACACTCTGCCGCTCTCCTTCCTTCCTCAGTTTGCCAGCTGAACTGTTCCAGCCACGGCGAGTGTGACTCGTTCACACGGCGATGTGTCTGTCACCCTTTCTGGATGGAGAACTTCATCAGAGCTCAGCTTGGAGACGCAGAGAGCAACTGTGGTGAGATGAGAAAAATCTTAATGAAATAGTTTTATTAGCATATGAATCAAATATATTGTCGTGGAATTGTGGCCTTTTTTCCTTCTGCAAATTTGGTTCCAGGCTCAAAGAGACAGCTCATACAGCCATATTTGATCTACTCACGTATCGGGCCATAAAAATGATTTTGTTGCTTAAAAAGTACAGTTTGATATGTTACATGCGATATTTTACATGGTGACAAGCTTTTGTGTCAAACAAATATTTTGTTTTCAGAGTGGAGCGTACTCTATGTGACTATAGCATCTTTTATGATTGTGGTCGCTATAGCAACAGTTGTCTGGGGGATGGTGTGTTGCTGCAACAGGTGAGTTCAAGTCCTAAAATTTTAAATATATCTTTATATTAATTTATATATTTATATTAATAAATATACAGTATATTATTATTAAATACCCTTCATAATATAAGTATACCAATCAGGTGGGTGCGTGTATGAATATTTAGGACTATAAGGTTGTTCTCTGTAAAAGTAAAAAAATTGTAAAAAAAAATTGTAAAAAAAAAAAAGACAGGAAAAGATTTTGAATTGTTGAATGGTTTGTACTCTTTAACTAAAACTACAAAAACTGAAGATGCATGTTTTGTTTTTTCCCTGGAAGGCGAAAGAACAAAGTGCGCAGAAGCAAAAGTCGATATAAGATACTAGACGCTGACGAGCAAGATAGTCTGGAGCTTCAACCGCAAAGAGCTGGTGAGACATTTCTCCAGTTAACCTCACACTTGGCTGTTGAACTGGGAGTCACTCCTACATGAACATTAGTGAAACATGCATATTAATCAAAAAACGATAACAAGTGTGCGTTCCAGAAACAGAAACTGGATGCTCAACCTCAAAAATATAAATAAGTAATCAAAGTATAAAACACGAAGATGCACAGACACTGACTGCTTTGATGGTGTGCCTCCTTTTCCTACTCTTGCTTTCCCTTTGTCTTTTAAAGTGTTAAGCAGGTACATGGAAAACCTTGTTCTGATGTTGAAAGAAAATCAACAGACAAAAGCTATGAGGGGTATTAAAGTGATCTTACCTATGTACAAATGTTAGTGACTTCTGTTATTTCTCAATTCATATCTAAAGTCCCCTCTAACGTGTTTTCTTTTAGATGGCTCCTTGATTACTACAACAAGCACTACAGTCAGGGATAATGGCTTTCACTGTACCTTGTATCCAAGTTTTATTTCACCATAATTAAAGCTACAAGGCATTGTTGCGCAAAATATTGAAAATTTAAAAAAAAAATACACAGAATTTATAGACCAATACACAAGTAAATTGCACACATTTATATGCAATTTATATATTTTTATACTGTCAACATCTGTTTTACATAATGTCTAACCATTTTGATCTCAGTGAGACTACCTGTTTAAATAAGATAAATAAAACGTTCTGCTTAGTCGAGCTTTAACGCTGCATCATTTTGACATCATACTGTTTCTTTCTCTTCTCCTGCCTGTATTCCTGCACCATCACCTGCCTACCAGCCCGTATGAAGCCGGTTCCCGCGCCCACCTCTTCTGCTCTCATGCATTCAGACTCTGACCTGGACAGTGATGACGGGCAGGGTGGGGTCCCGTGGACAGAGCAGGAGCGCGGGCATCTCCTGCGGCCCCAGAATGGCTCCCTGAGGAATGGCCAGGGACCAGCCAGGGGCAAGAAGCAAAGAGATGAGCTGCTATAGCAAGAGAGGAGGGGGGAGCTCACTGCTGCCCTCACACACCCCTCCTCCAGCATTCACACCCCTCTGTTCCTCACTCTTCCTCTGTCTCTTCTGTTGTTGTTCAACACAAAAACCTCACACCTCTCATCCTTGAAGACAGACTGTGTGACACCTGGATTTAATAAGAGGGAGAGAGGAGAAACATGCTGGAAACATGTTGTCCCACTGTCACTGAAAAAACACCACTATACTGGAATTTCCATGATCCCACACTGAGCCAATATGGAGAAAAAAACTACAATTTCACTGAGAATTAGGGGTAAGCACTGTGTTTTGAATAGTTAAAAAAATATAACATAGACCCCTATTATTTAACACAGAGACAAAAAGAATGTACTGTTACCCCTCTTACTGATGGCACACGTTAGTTAGAGACCGTTGGAGAAAAGACTAGCCTGAGAGACACTTGACTTTCTGGATTAAAAAAAAAAAAAAAAAAAACTCTGCTTCAGTGACACGAAAACCAGCCACTTGACACGCTCACACCATGCCTCATGTAGACACGCATGTACGCACACAAACACGTCACCTTCGCACTTGTTCCAGGTCAACCTGATGCTACCAAACACTGCCATGTTAAAACCAATGGTTAACTCTGCTCGGAGGATTTTGTTCATGACTCATCTGAAGGAAAAATGCAACCAAAACAGCCACCAACAGCAATGGACGCTCCTCCAAAACAAAAAAATAAATATGTGCATGTAGAGTCAGATTGTATTTCCGGTACAACATGATACTGAGACGACTGCCTGCACGTTTGTGTGTTGGGTGTATGTGTGGATTTTTCTGGCTTCTGTGCCAAAAGATGTTTCATCAGAGCAGTTTGTATGTTGGTTTTTATGTCTGTTAGTACCCGATTACAGACACTATGTTGTCAGTCATGGTGGTCAGAGGCAGAAGATCTTTTAAAAAAAAGAAAAAAAAAAAAAAAAAGCATCATGCTTTTATTCTGAAAGCTTCTCTGTGGATTAAATCGCTGGTACACACACACACACACACACACACACACACACACACACACACACACACGCACACACACACACTGGAAAACACAATGTTAATGAGTTTGGTCTCCAGAGGAAAGATAATGAGGAGAAAGACGAAGTTCACAACATAACAAAGGGGATGGTCAGGACACTGCTTCCTTCACCAATTCAATATGAATTAATATAACAACTGCTTGAACCAACCACTTAGTTTTTCTTGTGTTTGTATGTTTCGTTTTTTACAAACAACCTTTATGCTGTGATTAGGTGTCGATGCACTTTGATTTCATGTTTGTCGGCTTCAGTCTCATTTTGTCTCCTCGGTTGAAAAGGGCGATCTATGATGGTTAAAGTTGGAAGTTCAGCCACAAACACAGGACATTTCTGCATTCAGTGTTGTGAAAAACATAATTTCCTTAACTTAAAAGATCAAAAGAGAAGGAGATATTTTAGCAATCTTGAATGCAGCTCGTGTCCAGAGCCACCTCAGTAATTCTAACAAACCTGTAGGCCTGAGTGGACGGGAAGGTGTAAGCTTAAAATTTGTCAAAGTGGGACTTCAGCAGTTTCAACTAATTAGAATCTGTTTGACTCCAAATAGGATGAAATTTGTTCTCCCTTTGGCAAATATTCAATTAGTTTAACTTGATGATCAAAACTTAGATATGATAAAATTGTGTTGTGCGTCCAGAACGACCTCACACTGTGCTAAATCCTAAAAACAAAAAATAATTTCTTCCCACATACAGGATAAGATCAGAGGTTTAAACTGAGCGGAGATTGCCATACATACTCCAGTAACAGAACATAGTAGGAAGGCTGTAAAAACACAGTAGAGACAGAAAAACAACTGAATCTGCTGCATCTATTTCTTCTGCACATCAGTAGTGATTATAGGTGTTTCTGTGCTGAGGGAAAACTTTAACCAAATGACTCTTCCCTGTTACATCTCGGTGTGCGTGATCGCTGCTTTGCATGCAGAATGTGAAATTGATCTGTAAAGTCCACATTTTGAGGCACTTTGTTTGGTTGTCGAATGTTATAAGGGTACGCTGTTAATTCAGTTCAACTTGTACTCTGTGTGAAATAAGCAATCATTTAAAAAATAAGGCAAAAAAAGTCTGATTCTTACTGTCAAGTCATCTCATGCTGATGTCAGTTCTGCTGCACTAGTTTGGTCTCAGAGCACCCAGTGCACATCAGGCCAGGGCAGAGATTTTTTGTTTTTGTTTTTAATATTTAATTCACACTTGCTGAAATTATCTGGTCAATGTTGCCAACTTTTGTGAGGCAAACTAAAATCAAGTGCACCCAAGTGCCAACTCTGTAAAATGTCATCTTTTGGACACTTTGAAATAATGTTCGTATTTCATTCCCATTTTTTTTTTTTTTTTTTTTTTTTTGCACATCATAGGAAATGGCTTTTGGCGTAATTGCCAAGATTTTATTTCTTTCTCTTTAGGTATATAACCTTTTCCCAAAAATGAAAAAAAATTTCAAGGTGTTTTTATACCTATTTAACAATACAAAATTCTGCATTTCTTCTGTTACATGTGCAACAGTTGCCAGTCACATTTGGGATTTATAGGAGTAAGTGAAATGACCTCGACTCTGATGGAGTCCACTGTGAAGGCAGAAGGAGAAAGGAGTAGCAATTGTTAAATGAAGGGAGTTTAATTTAAAATGTTTTAAATACAGCTTTAGTGAAGAATTACTCCTTCATTCTTTCTTTATGTGGGACCAGACCAGATGCAACTGGATAATCTGTACATTATAATAAAATGTTTCAGTTTGTTCTTGAGTTTTCTGAGAGACGTGTGCTTGTTCCTTACTGTTTTCTGAGCAAAAACTGGACTTATCATTATTAATGAATAGCCTTTTCCCCATTTCCTCTTATTTCCCATTAGATCTTATTTTCTTAGTCTTATTTTTAGACTTTTATGTTATGGGACTTCCCCAAAAGCTTTTTATGCTCCTTTAACACTTAATATACTCAAAAACTGTAAAATAACGTTACAGTAGAAGCCCAAAATCATTAATTCACTAATTAATCAAACATTCATTAATACCACTTCTATTGCTACTTCTAGCCTACTGTCAGTAAATTATAAAATAACTTATTTGAAGTCTTTATTTATTTCTCATTCATTGCTATTAATGTAGAGTCCATCAGCGTTGGGGTCAAGCAAAACCATGTTGCAACTCATTTATTTACAAAAATGGCTTAATGGCTAACAATCTGCCATATAATCATTTGTCTGATAATAAGATACTGAGACAATATGGACACAATCCTAAATTATATTACCGTATCACTGTAACTTGTTCTTTTTGTAAATAAATTAGTTATGACATGATATATTTATGAACTATTCATAAAGTCAGTTTAACATTTGATTGTGCGGTGAGTCATAGTTGACTAATTCATGTAAACTTGCCACCATAGATCAGTGGTTACATAACCTTAGAAAACGTTTGTTCATCACAGGTGCTCTCTAGTACTAAAACAAATAGCAGTACAACCCTGACTTTATTGGGGCAAATTCCCTGGTAAATTTGCCTCTGTAATCAAACTACTGGGGTCCCAAAAAACCTCAGGCCCTTATTGAGTATAATGTGCATATTTACTGCATGTACAACTGCTTTTGTACATTACAAATATGTAAAAGACTACATGTGGGCACATGCATCCTCACATCAGGGGCCGGGCCAGGACAGATCAGCAAACAAGTTCAAACACGAAACATGCATCACTAAGACCCTATGTATTTATGCAAACTGGACATGTCTGTAGATAAATGCATTCGTGCATCTTTCTTTTGTGGCATGGAGCTCAGTGCAGGAGAAATAATTGCCATGGGGACACATCTCTGCTGCATCGCCTTCAGAAATGTCATGAGAGGAAGGAAAGCAGTTGTTTCATCTTTTTCTTGCTTAGTTTTTTGTGCTGCCCTCTGCCTCTCACACTCCTTATATGGGAAAGGAATTAGTTGCGCGAAGAAGGGCGGAAACACAGCGCGGTGACGGCTGGGTAAACTGACATACAGGAAGAAAAAGACGAAGCTCAGTCTGCTCTGCGAACCTGTTCCCTGCACCTCCCCACCGCAGATACACGGAGATATTAAGGACCAAATCACTGCTTGACCAGTTTAGCAGGTAAGCAGTATGCAGTTGCTGCGCTGTACGGTTTGTAGCTCATTAAGCGGTTTTGTTTGAGATTAAAAAATAAGCTAAAGAGGGAAAAATGCGTCGCCGCTTCCTCTAAGCAGAATTCATTTATTGAAATCGGTGTGATGCTAACACACCCCGGTTAGCCGACTCCGTTAGCCTTCAAAATCTAAGCTTGACCACTGACTGACACAGACCTTTTAAAATGTTTTAAACGTTAACTTAATTCCCGACTTCTTCTTTCTCAGATGAGGGACGCTGGTTCGCTGAAATGTGACTACTTCTTTTTTTCTGCAGAGTAGTGCAACATTAGCTAACAGAGGGAGGGGTGTGTGAGAGGAAAAAAAATCAGGAAATGCCGAAACAGACAGCAGACACTCAACAACGGGGAGGGGGGGGTTGACGGACACAAATTAGACTAACAATATATACAACTCTAGTCTAACGTCTTTACTGCTCTGACAAGGAGAAACAGTTAGTCGGGAGTTGTGTTAGCTATCTGTCGCTTTGTCGCCGATAGTGTTATGACACATTTTGTATAGCCCGCAGATTTGTCTCCTCATCGATGAAACCGCTTTCCAGCAAACGTTAACGTCATGTAGGAAAACACATTTTGCCTTTTAGAAACTTAATTCTAAAAGGGATTTAATCTTTCATATCTCACCGATGCTGGACTAGTGGTAAACAGTGGTTTCTGGGCCAGGGGAGACTAAATTAGCCGGGGACACAGAGTTCCCCACGACACCCACCAACGGCTCTGCTAGCTAGCTTTAGCCACGCCGTTTCTCATCCTTGGCCGTCTGATTGAAACCCCAGTGATCGCATTAACATCAGCGGCTTGAACTTGATTTGTTTGGAGGCTTGAGCCCACCGAAGTAGGACTGTGAGCAAGGTTAGAGCTGACCGCCATTGCTTTGGCCTACTTCTGCCTCTGCGACAAAGAAGAAACGATGTGTTTTGTTTTAATCATTGCAAATACATAGAATGGGCTACACATACACTGCTGGACTCTCCCTCCTTTATGTCTGAACGTCTGCACCCTGGCCCCCGAAGGCAGAGAGGCACAAACCCTCACACAGGCCTAACCTACTTCACTGCCCCTGTATGCCGATGGTGCTTTATGGAGAATATTTCTGCCATATGTCCACAAAAGTAGGTCTGTGGATGCAGTCAGCAGTGTTTTACAGAAAGATGAGCAAGACCTGTAATGTAGAGTGAGAAAGTGTAAACCACTTAAAATACATCTTTCCATAGACCAGGGGCCATGGCTGGATTACTGAACTGTGCAAAGTGGGCAGCTCCCTACTGGCCCCAAAACCCCCAGGGTTCCCTCCATTTCTGTCTACAGTAATTTGATTAATGTCAAATTTGTTAGAAATTTACACCACTGAAGTAGAATAACGACTATGACTATCCTCCATCTTGTGGCCCTGGTCTGGAAGTGTCAAAATCTATTTTTATGACCTCAATTGTTTAAGTTATATTGAGCTCATTAGTTGTAAAGTTGTATTTTTGCTTTTTTCTGTGTCTAACACACAGAAAACTATGGACAAGGTAGTATCATTCCATCAAAGGAGACATGTACTGGTGGTTTGTTGGTGCCAGGGTGAATAATGAAACTGCCAAGTATAGCTGGGGTCAATAGGGGTCCAACAACAAATTTAGGAGGTTAAACTGGCCATGTCAGGGGCTCTTATGTATTTGTATTATGACATCTGAAAGTATATTTGCTTTGTTAGAGCTGATATATCTAATCGATATTTCCCTTGGGCCATTTGTTAAAGTTTATTCCTTTGTAGATCATATTCATGTTGTTGCCTTCATCCCAGCACATGATTCATGCATGTATGTGCTTTGCAGACATTGTACTGTCATTCTTTAATATTCTTAGCCTGAAATTTACTTTAAAGCGTAAGGCTGGTGACAAATTTCATGAAAAGACCAATAACAACAATAAGTTAGTCACCTTGTCTCTTTCAAAAAGTAAAAAAAATTCCTGAAACAGCTGAACACTAGTTTTTAGCAAATGTTACTCAGACAGAATGAAATAGTGCATTTATTAGACACTGTTTTCAGGTGTAGACTTGGATCTCGTGGTGAGCTAAGGTGAGCTCAGCTTTGTCCTCACCAGGGGAATGTGAAGAATAACATTAAGTCCTCTGAAGTCATAGTAAGAAATTTCAGTATTTATGTGGGACTCAACTTAAAAATAAATGACAATTCTCATGTTCAACGTAATTGAGGAATATGTTATCCATAGCAGCAGAGTGACTTCATGCATTTTTGACTAGTTTTTGGAGAACAAGAAACTTTGGACACACATACTTGTTGGTAAAATCAATTCATTCTTAGCTTTGGGTCGAAGCTTCTGCACATGTAATCTATTTTCCTAAATTCTAGCTTAAAAACACAGCTGTGGAATTCCTCCACCTCTGAAGTTGTAGTTAAGCCCAACTTTTACCCATCTTGCCTTTTTATAGTGCGTAAATTCTAAGGAAAAAGTTATGGCAGGCACCATTTCCTGTCCTGAGTCATCATGGCTATATCTGCCCTCACGTCTCTGGAAAGTTGTTTCAGTGGAGTTGACAGTGGAGTTTCGTTGGCGGTCACCACTTGGCTTGAACATCTGTGGTCACATTACTTTAGTGGACTTGAGGAAAGGGTCTCAACCATTTAAACTGTTACAGCAACACACTGAAACAGCATCCAGAGCCCCCAACAATGCACTTTAACAATTAACAGTACCTTTTTAAAAACAGTCACATCTAAATGTTTTTTTTTTTTTTTTTTTTTTTTTTTTTTTTGTGTATATTTCTCTACTCCACTTACACCTTTAGAGGCCACTCCCTTCCTGTATCACTGGTGAGTCATTTCTCAGCTGAGACCAGGAAATGTAAGAGTTGAACTCTGGTATCCACAGGTGTACTGTAAATGTAGCTGTGGCCCTGAACATTAAGGCATGTAGGTCAAGGGTAGTGAGGGTGTGTGTCCTGCTATGATCTAATTTATCTCTAAGCCTTGTGGAGAAATTAATTTACAACCCTGTCTGAATGAGTGAGGCAGAGCAAAGGGAAGTTTAGGCATTTTGTAATGGAGCTGCTATAAGAGTAGTACTTCATCTTTCAGTGTAAATTAATGTTTTGCCTTTTGTTTTCAAAGGTGAAAAGTCATCATCCCTCCTGGAGTAGTTTCAGTAAACATTTTAGGGTTGTTAGTAATATAGTGCTACTGATATTCAGGCCTATTGACATGAAGTAATTTAACAGCTATACGGCTGACATAATGTATAAGCTACCCCGCCCTGCTGAGGCACTATTACTGCCTACAATAACATGATTAATATGGGCTTCAGGGTGAGCCTGAGTCATATGATAGCATAATGCAATTTTAGCTAAGTTTTCCAACCTGCCATAAACACAAATCTGGCAAAAACTTTGCATTTCCTCAAGATTTTAACCTGAATAAGATTCAAATTTAAAGATATATTATAGGCACAAGATGCCACCTGCCAGCTCAGCCTTGTATTGTTTGAAATCCTTTGATAATAGTGCCAATATGATACCCGATATTTGAGGACAGTATTTTTTTTTTTTTTTTTTTGATTACTAGCTGTAAGAAAGATAGAAAGGTCTAAAATTACCAAAATGTGTATTGTAAATCCATAGTTAAATGACCTAACAATAAGCAAACAATATTATCAATCAGGCACCAAAGGCTGGCAAAATGTCTTGATTTGTCTGATCAGTAGTCCAGAATAAAAGATTCAGTTTCACAGTGATACAAAACTGAAAAGCAGCAAATCCTCAAAATTGAAAGGCTGGAACTGGGAAATATTTGGTGTTTTTGCTTGAAAAATTATGAACAATTAATCAGTTAAAAGTTCAAATATTTGCCAATTTGTTATCAGTCATTTGACAAATCATTTTTTGAGAATGTAAAAGTTTGACACTCAGCCCTACATAACAGTATCCATATTAGTTTGCAACTCATTTATGCAACTGAAACTCTTTTCCGTTTTGTTTTTATATCCAGGAAAGCGCATACTTCTTAACCTGTAGCTTCAACTATCACAGCCAAAATGTTAAGCACTCTCAGTCATTAGTTCTCCAAAGACGTAGTTCAGTGCCTCTGTAGTGAAAGTGAGACGGTGGCAGCTGGTTTATCTCCTGGACTCATTAGTGAGAGTGGTCTGTGTGGCTCCATTCATCGTCAGCCAGGTGTAAGTACCTGAGACTGGAGACACTCTCAGCCATGCAGATGAAGGCAGCGTCGGGTTACGGCTGCCTTATGTAATGTTAGCCTTTTTTGTTAGGAGTGTCTGTGAGTACTTAAGGTGTAAGATTATTCTAGATTTGAATTGAAGTTAGTTAATCGTGTACTTGAATGGGTGTGTTAGGAGTATCAGTTTGCATGTTGGCACACATTTCTCACTGTTTTGCTGTTACCAGATTTAGTCCCATCTTTAATGTTGTGTAACCACTTCCTTACTTTGGTCTATTGCTCTTGCCCTTATATTTTGAAATTGTTTTGTTGTGAAATATACAAGCACGTTGAACGGACATAGTTGGGATGACAGGGCAGGTCTGCACTCCTCACAGAGTCAGCAGTAACTGGTAATGATCTACATAGCTTTACTCAGCAAGTCCTGACCTGCTTTACCAACAATCCCATTCTTACTTTTTCGTTACTCGTCCACAGTTGAGTATCACTGATCAGTTGGAATTCAGTGACTTTCCCTCCAGGGCTGGCAAAGGATGCCTTGAGATTTGCAGATGTACATATTTACAGTTTTTGGCTCCATTTTTAAAATTTTGGGGGATTTGGTCTGTGTGGACTATGTTGGACATTGGGATTCAGTGTAAACTGTGTGAACAAAATAACTGCAGACTGTTTTGAACTCCAAGTGAATTTTAGTGCTATTTCAGGGCTTCTTTCATGCCTTGTAGGACTAAATCAACCAACTGCAAATGTGCCCAGGATTCAGAGCACTGCTGTTGTTATCTTAGTATCTAAATTTTAATTGCAGTGATTGCCTTCATCTTGTGTCCCAGGGGTAATTCAGTCCCCCAATTAAAAGGCTTGAACAGAAAGTACCACTGTGCCTTGATAATTGTAAACAGCTGATCAAGACGGACACAAACACCCGTACAAGTATTAAAAGCTTTTAGTGTCTAGTTTGGTCTAAAACTGGCCCGTGGATGCAGTTGCAAAATCTGTATTTTGTTGAGACAGTTCAGCAACTGAGCTATAATGTCAGATAACTAAAGTCTGTATTTAGGGCTTCAAAAAATGTAATAAATGTTGTATGAAATTTGCTGCATAAAGAAGTCCTTGTCCAACCATTCTTACTGCTGTGTAGACTCGTATTGTTTGAGAATAAACAGATGGGTCAGGCATCAATTACATCTTTGAAGCATCTTTATTCGTAGCCTGTTGCATCAGTTTAAGAGCGTTTGGCTCAGGTTAATGAGTTACAGATATAACAGTGATGCAAAAACAGGATTTAAATGGCCTCTAGCTGTGTGTATATTTTGAACGGGGATGCTTGGTGTCTGCTCTTCCTTTTTTCAGCTGTCTCAATCCTCTTCTCCAACTTTACAGGTATGGCTGAGTTGGCGAGTCTGGTGCAGCGGCTGGAGGTGGCGGTGGGTCGTCTGGAGGCCATGTCAGGCCCTGGAGATTCTGCTGGGGGAGGTAATCATCAAATGTCATTATTATGAAACAGTTACTCTATATGTTACATGAATAAAAGATGTCTGGGGATAGTTTCTTTGAGTGAAATATCCATGTATCCTAAAGTATGTTTATGTGTAGATACCAAAGTTGAGTTTAAAGGAAGCTGTTTTTGCAAATCAGATAAACATGTTAATGGAAGCTTGAAACCTTGTTTGTTTTTTTTTTTTGTTTTTTTTTTTTTAAATCTTTACAGCTGTATCGGTGTACGTCGAGGCTTTTGACGGGATTGTTAGCGGTCCCGTGGCCCAGTACGTCTCCCTCAGCCAGAAGATAGGAGGCGATGTCCAGAAACACGTAAGTCAATTTTAGATACAACATGGTATAATATGTGCTAATTAAAGGTAAAGTTTAAGTAAAATACATTCAGATAATGATGATGTTTTGTTTTTCACCTTTTTTTTTTTAAGACTTTTTGAATTCCCTCTCTTGTCCTACCAGGCAGATATGATAAAGCAGGCATTCTCCAGTCAGAGACAACTCCTCATGACGGCCTCGTCCTCCCAGAAGCCCTCTGATGTGAGTTAAACACACTTGACGCTCGCTAAGTCAATCAATGTCTCAGCTAAATAGACAGCACATTGATTGATCAGGTTGAAACAATCTGCATAATTCATTAAGTTTGCCTCCTGTCCTGAATCCCTGCAGCCCCCTCGATCTTCTGTACAGGGTGTCTGTCATGGTGTTGTTTCTCCTCATTTCCTGCCCCATTACATATGCACATTTACAAAACAATACTTGGTATTGGTGGTGTTGGCTATTAAGTCACCCACCCCAACTAATCATACTCCCATGATAATAACAATAATAATGGTATAAGATATTATATATTATTGGTTGCACATGCATAACTGGCGTTACTTCCCACACTATTGTGTGACTGGACATGAGACTTGCTGTTCAATGGCTGAAATTTCTATTGTGGAACTTTTAATTTGTATCAGTGTTTTGTTTTTGTTTTGTTTTTTGTCACAGCACACAAAAAGTCATCAGACTGATTGGAAAAAGTTTCTGAATCTAAAACTTTAATTTGCTAAAAATCTACTATATGAGGGAAAAATTCTTTTAAATGTGAAAACTTGTGTCTTCTCTTTCCCGCTCAGGCAGTTTTGACGACCCTCCTGCAGCCGGTGTCCAAAGCCATCCAGCAGGTGCAGGCGTTCCGCGAGCAGAACCGCACCTCGCCGCACTTCAACCATCTCTCTGCTGTCAGCGAGAGCGTGCCTGCCCTCGGATGGGTCGCCATGGTGAGACTGGGGATGGTAGTGCTTAATCAGCAGGAAAAGAAACTTTTTAGCAATGTAGTTTGTATGTTATGTGTGAGTGATTTTATGTTTGTGCTTTGTTTGTATGTATGTATGTATGTATGTATGTATGTATGTATGTATGTATGTGTGTGGGTGGATAAATGTGTGTATAATGGCAGGAAACAAGCCTCTCTTTGATTCTGTCATCACTGTCTGGTGAGCGACAGTTTCTTGGCTGACACACAGATGCCAGCAACAGAGCTGCACTGTTTAGATGATTAACTCTTTGTTGTTGTTGTTCCTTCTCTTATGAATAATACATCAGCTTTTCAAATTCACATAACACATTCATTCTTTGTACGCCTACTCATGTATCTCAAAGATCTCATCATTAACTTGAACCGGATTTATTACGTATACCACTCTTTTGCTACGGTAGTATACAAATTAAAGGAGATGTTTGACATTTTGGAAAATACTTTTTTTTTTTTTTTTTAATTTGCTTTGCTGCCAGGAGTTTGATGACAAGCTTGATAGCACTCATCTTTCTACGCTAAATATTAAGCTACAGTCGGGAGGCAAGAAGCGTAGCTCAGCATAAAGATTGGAACAAAGGGAAACAGAGTTCAGGATATGCTTACAGACGCATCCAAAGCTCTCTAATTAAACCAATAGTTTGTGGAAATAGGCTTGTTTTCTTGCTGGGAGTTGGATTGCGAAAAAAAAAGTGTATTTCCCAAAATGTTGTAACTATATCTTTAACCTCAGTTAGGACATGAATGCAATAATGTTTAAAACCTTTTTTTATTGCTTTGTCCCAGGCTCCTAAACCATGCCCCTATGTTAAAGAGATGCTGGATGCCGCCATGTTCTACACTAACCGTGTGCTCAAGGAATTCAAGGAGAAGTGAGTAAAGCTTCTGTTTCCTATTGTCTGCAGCAGTAAAGCTGTCCACACACTAATTTTAGATACAATGCAGTAAGAGTCAAGAGGGACTCCTTTTGCAATTTGTTCTTATTTTTTTTAGAAACTGCGTCATTTTGTTTTTGAAATGTTGTAACATCTGAGATACAGGTACCCTGAAAAGCGTGATGGAAACTTTCAAATGCAGACAAGCAGTTTGCAGCGTCCATCTGTCTTTCATCCTTTCCTTCCTTGAGGGTCTTTTTTAAGTTGAAGTATCCAACAGTTTTACTGAGTCAGTGCTGCCACACAACACGCTGATGCACTGGGGGTAGACTTCCCCTATTTTGACCTGAAATCAAGCTTTAGTGTTTTTGAGCAGATCTGAGTTACAGTTAGAAGGTAGAAGTCTCAGACTAAAATCAGCTTCTTTATGCTGAACAGTTGCACAAAAACACGACTTGTATTCAAATTTGTCGGTTAGCTTTCAGCAGGGTTGAATGCAAAATAGTAGTCCTGTATCCAAATACAAAGCATAGAATCAACAATCAGTTCAGACAGAATAAAATCCTAGCTTAGTAGTTAATTTGGGTAAGAAAACATTACATATTTTAAGAGTAAATCTATTTGTGTGTGGAGAGGCTCATGCTTGTCTGTTTTCCTGTGGGACAGACAGACCATTGAAAAAGCAGAGGGGGAAAAAGAAACTGAAGAAACTTTTATATATTTAAAAAAAAAAAAAAAAGATTTGAATGCAAAAAGATGATCACCAGATGATCCTGCTTTCCTCTCCAACAGGGACAAGACACATGTGGACTGGGTGAAGGCCTATGTCTCCATCTGGACTGAGCTGCAAAACTACATCAAACAGCACCACACCACCGGACTGACCTGGAGCAAGAGTGTGAGAATTACAATTAGAAATCTTCTGAAGAGAAAACTGAGGAGTAAAAGTTCTTTGCTGAAAGTGAAGAATAAGACAAACTTATAAAGCAACTGACTCTTAGTTACAGTGAAGTAAGAATAGTCTTCAAGAGCAGCTCTAAAGTGATCACATGATTTACTCAGTGAATTGTTTACAATTCTTTATTGCTTAACATTGTTTATTGTTTAATTTACATCACATCTACATATCTAAGTTTACAAATTGGGATAAAATAATAGGAAATTGAAACGAGAGAATTCCTGAAATTCCTCTGCCGATAGACAAGGCACATCAAAGAAATGATCTTATAACAGGAAATTAGTTCCACATTGACAAGTTCAGACAATGAATAGACATGGGAGGTGACTGCAAACAAAATCAGAGTCGGCTTCATTTTTATTCCCTGATAAATCCAAATAAGAAAGGTGCTGTAACATCCTTTCAGATGTTCAAACCAAGTGCAAATAGAAGTACAATATCAGAGCTGAAACAATCAGTCAATTAACTGATAAGTTGATCGACAGAAAAATAACTATGGCAACTATTTTGATAATATAACTGTCTGTTAATTGTAGCTTTTCCTGAACACGATTGTTTACAAATGTTTCTTGAATCATGTGCTCTGACATTACATGGTTTCTGATTTCTGATTTTCTGTCCACCATAGGGCCCCATAGCTTCAGCCACTGGAGCAGCTCCCCGTGCTCCTGCTGGTGGATGTCCTCCCCCACCTCCCCCTGGACCTCCTCCTCCCCCCATGGACTTGAGCACATCCTCTAGTGGCGGTGCCAGTTCTGGTGATGAGCGTAACGCTTTGTTCGCCTCCATCAACAAGGGATCCGACATCACCAAGGGTGGGTAGCCAAAATGTGGGGACTGTATCTACTGTATTAACACAACTGCTGATCCAAAAAGTCCACTTCCTGTTGCTCTTGTAGCTTTGAATAATTGAACCACACGGAGGCTTTTATTGTGAAAGTTACTGGAAACGCATTCCATTATGATCGAAGGTTGTACAGACTCCTGTTCGCTACGTCTTTATGAATCAGCTGGTTAAATGAATTGCATGTGACAGGCTTTTACTGCAGTAAACATAGGTTAACATGGCCTTTTGGATGGAAAACACTGTGCATCGTAAAATCTGTTTGCAGTTGCTCATGGCACGGCAACGCACAAGTGTCCCAACCCTGTTTCTGACCTGTGGTTTTAGATTTGCATTAGACTGCATTTTTCATATTTTACATTACATTTACTCATTTGGCAAACACTTGGCAAAAGCTGATTATTTTACTTATTTATTTAGAATATTTTGAAATCTGCACATCAGTTTAGTCTTGGTGAGCATGTGCAAGTGAAATGGTTAATTTTCCCCGTTTTTATATTAGAAGTTTTTATTCACATAAATCAGTTATAAATTGGTCTTGAATGTTTTCGTCTTTGAGCCTGAAACATGTTAAACTGTAGACTTACAATGTGATTCCCTCTTTCCTTGACCCCTCCAGTCCTGAAGCATGTGAGTGATGACCAGAAGACCCACAAGAATCCTGCCCTGAGGGGTCAGAGTGCTCCAGTTCGTACTGGACCCAAACCCTTCAGTTCCCCCACTCCCCGACCTGCCGCCTCTCCCGCCCCGGCCCGCATTCTGCCCCCTGTGTTGGAGCTGGATGGGAAGAAGTGGAAAGTGGTAAGATGTTGGACTGCTCTCTCTACAAAGTTACATGAGAAATCACAGTCAATCCAACCATAGGCTAGAGCTGCATTTATCCTGAGTTGTAGTTACGTTATTCCTGTAAAAGGAAAAACAATGAGAAAAGGACAGGGCCATATCAAAACATGTAGACGTGTTGTTTTTGGTTGCGTTTAGCTGGAATGATTGTTTATGCAACGGGCCGAGAGGTCTGCCAAAATTAGTCATTCAGTCAGAATTATTTAAAAAAAAAAAAAAAAAAATGTTGCCATTTAAAATAGCTTTTCTTAAGTAGCTTCAGTGTTAAATCCTTCTCTAAACTCTTACTCTCTAAACAACTCTTGGTCTTGGTCTTGAACTCTTTAATTTGTTGTTCACTCTGTTTTTTTCTCTGTTCTTTATTGCCCCCTGTAGGAGAACCAGGAGGGTGCACAGAACCTGGTGATCAGCGACACTGAGCTGAAGCAAGTGGTTTATGCTTACAAGTGTAACAAGAGCACCCTGCAGGTCAAGGGCAAAATCAACTCCATCACTGTAGGTAAGATATGAACAACATGCCAATAAGACACTGGAAAGATTTGAGCATATACAGTAGGGTCCAAAAGTCTGAGACCACTGGGACACTGAGACATTTGGACCCACTGTTAGTTGTAATCAGTTATGTCTTTGAATGGCCTTGCTCCTGCACAAGTGCTGTGTAGCCCATGTCAACACAATCATTCAGATTGTAAAGTAAATAAAATGCCGCTACAGAAGTTGCAAAAAAAGGTGATTGAGTGTCAAAGAGTGTGTGATTGGAGGGTAGAACAATGTTTTTATTTTCCAAAGATCAACTCTTGCCAGTTGCATGACATGCTGTACATGCCTCTGTCCTCTAAACATGTTTGTTTCTCTCCTTTAGACAACTGTAAGAAAATGGGGCTGGTGTTTGATGATGTCGTGGGCATCGTAGAGGTCATCAACTGCAAGGACATCAAGGTCCAGGTGTGTATAAAATGTAGTGTTATTACTGCTGTTATTATTAGGATCCTGTGTGCTGGCTTTGTTGCATTCCATGATATCACCCAGTGATTTCTGCATGAATGAACTTTAATGCATTTTTCACGAGCGTCCTGCTTTATATTCATGTAGTTGCACAATGACAACTGCAAGCTGCTCCGTTTTTGGCCACAGAGCAGCTCCCGTCCTTTTAAGGAAATCTTGGTGGTAGCAGTTAATCAGTGCAGAGATACAACAAAATGCATCCAACTTTTTGCTGTGCATCAGCAGCTGTGTTTGTACAGAGCTAAATTGTGTTGCCCTTTTTATATACCCAGGTCATAGGTAAGGTCCCCACCATCTCCATCAACAAGACGGACGGTTGCCATGTTTACCTGAGCGAAGGCTCCCTGAGCTGCGAGATCGTCAGTGCCAAGAGCTCAGAGATGAACATCCTGGTACCCAAAGATGGAGAATTTGTGAGTATCTGCTCAGGAGGGAAAAGAGATCATAAGATTTACATCATGCTTACTACTTTGTTATTGGCCTCTGTAGCTACTTTGACAATTATGTTGTAAAAATACATTAAGTTGCAGAACCAGACTTAATTAATTGAATAAGATGGTTTTACAAGCTCTGCTAAAAGACTGTTTCAGACAAGCAAGTCATTCAGACATAAAACCGACATCACATTTACATAGTAAGTGCTCAATGTCACTTTTATGTGGAAGTCATGACGGCAGCCTTATTGGGTCAAACCTGTGACATCTCTCTAACACTTTCAACATGGCACAAGTCTGACTCGAATGCTGTCATTTATTAGGGGATTAATAGTGAGAAGATGGGCTCGCGTTGCTTGAGTTCATGATGTCAGAACTATTTTTAACAGTTAAATGAAGTCAGGAATATTTTGTATTAACATGTCTGTTCAACATAAAATATTAATTTCAAGTTGAACATGACCCGTCTCTCTCTCTTTTTCCCTCTCTTAGACGGAGCTTCCTGTCCCCGAGCAGTTCAAGACCGTCTGGGACGGCCAGAAGCTCGTTACCACAGCAACAGAGATTGCCGGATAGACTGGGGCAGCGTGTGAAATGGCCGCCCCTCTTCGACACCATCCCCACCCCTTTTTTGCAAACGCCTACCTGACTGACCAACCACCCCACCAGCTAACTCTCACACTGTAGACTGAGATTCGGACCTCATGCGTTATATCTCCCTCCCTTCTTCCTTATCAGCCAATCACAGCTTAAGCTGTCCCTTCGATAAGCCAATGAGAGGACTGCTCGCTTTACCTGGAGCAAATCCTCCAGCCAATCAGCAGGGAGCAGCTTGTCATTCAAATTGGGTTTCCCTGTGAGTCAGTGAGCACTTTCCAAAAACAGTTCATAAGTTTTGCCAATAGCTGGAATGCTCTGTATGATATTTTTTATCTATCTGGATAATGCTAAGCTAAATTGGATATTAAGAATAGCCAACATGGTTCCTCTGCAACAACAGCACTGCAGCCAGGAGGGCCTGGTGTTGTGGCTTGATAGGTTTCTGTTTCATTATATGCAATTCACCGGTGAAGCACTTGTCAAAGACCTTTTTACAGTGGATAATGGTATCCATATCACCTCCACTGATGCTGACTAAAGTTATTAACATTTATAGTGGATAATGACATATATAAAAATGTCAGCACTCTCAAAGCACATAAGTAGGAGTAAAAACAAGTTGCGTGAAAAACCACTGTCTATTTCACATCATGAAACTCTTCATCTAGATGATATTGGTGCAATTAAAATAGCAGGAAAAATTATAACTCCACGTGCTTTCCCTTAAATCCACCCATAGGACATTCCTAAGTATTAAAAACATTCCATATAAGGAGGCATGTAAGAAAAAGTTTGCGGTGAAGAGCAAAGAGATGTCGATACAAAGTGGCGGAGAAAGAAAATGACACAAAGAGACTGAAAGACATAATCATTGATTGTTGTTGAACACTTCACCTCCACCTCAGTCTCTAGATTGGAAATATCAGCTGTAATCATCTGTAGAGATATGAACAATTATTAAATAGTCTTAAATATTAGCCCTCACCATCAACATCTCTCCACTTGCTCCTAGCCATGTCTGCACTCTTCTGTCACCTTCAGCTCTTGTAGCTGTGAAGCTCTTTGCTGATTTTTATTTTATTTTTTTTATACTGTCTCTTTTTCTTTCACCTCTTTCTTTTTGGGTCCAAAATCAGACGTCTGCTCATTAGTACTGGAGACATCATTAAAAGTGTTGCAATAAAATGAACACATTTTGGTGTCTTTATTGGATTCAACATGTAATATGTACAGATGCAAATTATGTACATTAGGCTGTTAACACAAGATTTTTCTATTAAAAAAAAAAAAAAAATTGACCTTATCAGGAGAGCTCACACTGAACATAACATTTGAGTCTAGTGTTAGTAGTACAGCAGTGGACTAACACGAATTAGCTGCTAAAATTAATATGGCATCAGAAAAACAACATCGACATGCAACAAGTGATCAGTGCAAATATGAATGTATGAAGTATGTGCTCTCTGCATCCCTGCTTTTGTTACTAAGATCCAGTTTACTCTTAACTTGCATTATATTGCTCTTCAAACGATTCAATTTCAGGTTATTGAAGCTGATACTTCATTTTACTCCCAATTTCACTGCCTGGATTCCATCAGTATCACCAGTGTTTTTAGCGCAGATAAGGCAGCAGGTTTGCATTGAACCACTCTCTGGTGAACTGGAGGTGGTCTCCCTCAGTTGCCAAGAAAACCAGCTTTTTGGCCTTGTCCATCGCCGCCAGGCCCAAACGATCCTGAACAGAGACACACACAGACCTCACTGTCTAAATGTAAAGGCAGTACTTGATGCAGAATACTAAACCATGTGTAAAAGTATGAAATAGAAGCTAAAAGAGGAACAGTCTGACATTCTTGAAAAAACGCTTAATTTTTTAAATAAAGATTTATACCATTTTCATAAAAAACAAATAACATCTCAAACTGTCAGACTATTCCTTTCAGACCTTTTATAATGAAATGTACAACACAAACTGAAAATAACTGCACTCTGCCTTGAAATAGTTGATATGGAGGGAGCTCAGAGGAAAAACCAGCCAATTTAAAAAAAAAAAAAATCTCAACCTTAATTTTAATAATAGTTTATCTAAATCAAAGACCATTTAGAAACTACATTGTGCTTAGAAGCGTTTAAACCATCACATGTAACATCAAACAATTAACTGATGAGACTTCCTGAGTTGGACACTGGATCAATCAGGGTATAAGTCCACCTCATTATAGTTATAAAGTAATGCTGTTGCTTTAAATCCCCATATTTAGCATTTATAAGCATATCAAATTTTAATGAACGGTTTATAACATTTTAATACAAGGACCTTTATTCTCATCTCCCCACAATTATATACTTAAAGTACAGTGCTACATATAATAATAATATGAAACTGCCTTTGGTGAGAAAAGTGTAATTTTAAATGTAAGAGTTAAAAAATTCACAAATTTTAAATTTAAATTAGTATATAAAAATAATATCAGTATAGAACAAGAAGAGCAGTACAATTAAAATCAAATGAGGAATACCTTTGTGGGGGCCGTCAAGAAGAAATAAGAACTAAGAATGAAGTAAATAAGAAGAAGACAGTGTACTGGGTTGAGGGGGAGCAGGCGGCTGAAGCCATGGTTTGTACAAAAGAAATGCACATGCACATTAAACTGTTATAAATGTTCAGTAAGTGCAAAGGGTTAACAATCCTCACTGCAAAGACGACAAAGACCGTTACCTCTTTGTAGAGAACGCTCTCCTGCAGAGTCTCCGTCTCTTTGGCCTGGCCGGTTTTCAGGAAGCCGAACCACTATGAGAAGAATTAGGAAAAGTCTGTTTGTGATGCTGAGTCATTGCATTCAGTGTTAAACACAGACACAGTATATATACTCACTATGGTACTGATACTCCTCCTGGTAAACTGAGGGAGCTGCAAGTGATGATGCTTTAATAAAGAGGTGTTTTGTGCGTTACCTCAGAATCAACAGGATCCACTACAGTGTCCTGCAGGAACTTGACCATGACGAACTTTTCCAGCAGCTGAAGATTCTTCTTATATGTCTCATTTACTCCCTTTAAATCAGAAAGAAACAGAGATACAAGCTGATTATAATGAACTAGATTCAGATAACAGAAAAGTAAATATGTAAAATCACACAAACAGTGTGCAATAAAAAAAAATGTATTTAGTCTTGGAGAAGTATTTACTCTTCTTATTCCTTATGTAGCCATATTCATAAAAACATTTTTGTCTTCTTTACAAATCAGTGCCCTTATTAGTTTGATAAAAATGAATCAATACCACTTTCCACTTTCTTTACTTTCTTCATTTTAAAGGTCTGTACTTCTCATCCTGTTTCTGGTCGGCTTTTCATTTACTTGAATTATAAACTGACTGACTGTATTAACTTTGCCTGTGGAACACTTCGGCCTTGGTGGTGCTACTTTAGGCGTTTTGGTCTGTACTAGACTCAGTGTTCACACAACCTTCACAAATTATACATAGAGCTTGTTTTATACATGCCTGAAAGCTCCGATTCTCCTGATTCTATCCGTGAAATGCATTTTAGGTTATCACATATCACAGAATTGACACATTGTGAGTTGAGGTTATGGCTCCAAAGTGTTTTCCACACAAACTCTCCTACTACAGACCATATAGTCCCTTTTTTATGCCAAAAGAAAATAGTCGAGACAGAAAAACTGCCACTTCTACCATGTTTGGGCCTCTGTAACTTTGGCTCAGTATCTCTTCTACTCATTCTGACTTTTTGCTTGTAAAATAATCTTTGTATTTGACTGTTTGTGTCTTTTATATGTTGTCTGCTTCGAGCCTCGTCAGACTCGGATCTGTTATTGTTCATGGGCGACGTAAATAGTTTTCCCTCTTTTGTTGTTAATGTGCTTGTCTGTAAATTACCACAGATACAAAAAGGAATTAATAATAAAAACTAACTAGGGATTCATAAAGTTGTATATCTCCAAATTCCTTTTTTGAAATAGTCACTTTTAAAGTTGCAGCAAATAATCTTGATTCACTTAATCTAGATCTTTTAATGGCATCTCAGTCTTCAGCAGCAGATGTCATGGACAATCAAACTCCATTTATTACTCCAAGAAGACTGAGATGCAGTCAAAAGCCCTGGAAAAATCCAGTTAACTGAACCTGAAGATGTTTCATACGTAACCATATTTTCCCTTAAGTTTATTTTGTCAAACTACAATTTCAATATGAATGAACTTTGACCCTTAATGCCCTTTTTGTTTTACCAAAATAGCAAGAGCTTGCACACGAGCATGACTGATCTCTCTGTGTTTGGTCTAATTATGCTGCTCGCAGACTCCAGGTGTGATCTGGTTTTGCAAAGTCCCGAATCCACATACTGACCCTTTCCTGATTGATGTCGGCCAAGAACAGGCTGTGCTTCTTGTACAGGTCGTCATTTAACGGGTCGTGCCAGTACTGCGCCTGCACCAGGCTGATAACCACAGACACAACATCCAGTCAGTGCTGCACATCAGTTTAACAATAGTCCAGGACCAGCGGTGGCTGCTACGCACACCAGCCACACGCAGTCATTCAGAGAGACTTACTGTTTTTGAACCAGGTCAGAGTAAGCTCCACTGTTCAGAGCTTTGCGAATCATGTCACAGATATGAGAGCTCTCTCCGGGACACCTGGGCAGCCCGTACACTCCTGAGGAACGACAAAGACGTGCAGAGGTTATCTCGCCGAGACAGAGTTCATGATGATGATGACTCATATTCACACTGTCTTGTGGAGTTTTAAAAAAAAAATGACGCAGGAGCTATAAATAAAGGCCTTGTCTGGAGATACATGGTCACAGTGTCAACACGGAGGAGAAGTCCTTAAAATACCGGGAAAAAAATTGACGTTTAAACATCTGCAGTTCAGTGACACTGAACAAATTCTGTCTGCTGAGGAAGGTGATAAAAAACTAATTTAACTTTATTATCAGGAAGAGAAAATTCATCAGGAGGTGTAAACACAGAAGCAATACAAGTAAAATAAGATCATGTATTACAGTCAGAAGCTCCAGAAAGCTATTAAATGGAACGTGAGAGAGATTTTTTTGTCAAGGTCAAGAGTGAATTTTGAAACTCAAGTTTTATTAAAGATACAAATTTCACATTTTCAAAACAATATTCTGTTCTGAACTTCACTAAACTTGGATGACTTGTTATTAATGGAGACCTTCATTATTCCTAGACACGTTTTACTTGTTTAACCATATAATATCCCACAAATCTTGCAGAGAGATAATTCACAGATGGACGTTGCATTATGTTGATATGTTAAGTAATGCTATATTTTATTGTTGTCAACTGTAGGAGCCATTTATTATTCTTGTTTGTTGTTTTGTTTGTTATTTGTTTTTCAGCAAGTGAATATTCTAGCTATTTGCTTCATGTAGATTAGATTTATTAGGCACTTTGTTTTGCTAATGATTTGTTTCGTTTGCTTAATTTTGCCAGTTGTATTTTTTTGTAAGAACTGGGCAGCACTATAGAAACCTAAGGTTTAATACAGGTAGGCAGATACAGGACCAGCATGCAACTGTGAGGGCCCACATTCATGGTAATGAAGGCGGGCAGTTTGTGGACGACGGTGAAGCTCTGAAACAGACATTTTGATATCAGGCTTTGGATAAACACGATTTATTGTTGGTTTTGTTTTGTATCACATGTGACACCAAAACGTAATGTAATATTATACAGTGACTTGGTGCAATTAGACTGAGAGTACTGTTAGCTTTGCTCAGGGAAGTGAGCCGATCTGGTGTTGTAGTTTCTCATAATAATGTTACCTTGGTGCTGACCGCCGATGGAGAGCAGGGTTTTCATTGGAGGAGAGGGACAGCGCTGAGCCACGGCCCTCCTGTGAGGAGAGGAACCAGGAGGAGTCAGAGCGAGCTTCCTCATTCTTGTCAGGAACAGAGAACATGCTCAAACAGAGGATGCAGCCTGAGAACAAAGCTCAGGTTGAGAACTTTACTATCTTGACCTTCTCAAACAGAGCTGAAAGCATCTTTAAGATCCTGTATTTCCTTCACTGTGAGAAAGAATAAGGCAAGAAGGGAATCTACCCCAACACAGGAACTGTTCAATTTCTCTCACATTCACATAACAAAACCATTCAGCGTCCAGAACAGGAGTTACATACAGAAATTGCGCCCCCTGGGAGAAGCCCATGGCATTGTATCCTCCCTTCAACTTGGGGTCCTGAGCCAGCTGACTGCACACCTCAGACACCTGCTCATTCACATCCATGAAAAACCCATTTTCTGTGTCCTGCAGGAGGAGAAACATGAAAAGTTCAAAGCATGACAGAGAGATTAAAAGAAGAAGACGAGCTCCATCCACGAGGAGAGATAAAGTCACGGTGTTGCGACGGATCAAAGGAAAGAGCAACAGAGTCGTACTGGTCTGCTATGAATATTAACACAGAAAAATTACACAGTCAAGTTGTAAAGGAGCTATTTTTCTGATGTAACTTTCGCCACTAGCACTGCAAATATCACAGAATAGGAATCCTTACATGTCATATGGATGAATCAATCAAAGACGTTCGCTTCACATGCAACATTCTTGGCTAAATGTGTCATATTTTTACATGAATTGTGAGTTTGTTCAAGAGGAAAAAGGGGAGTTGATTTCTCTATTCAGTGCACTGAATTAATTTATGTTCTTTTCCAGAAAGTAAATAAAGTTCACACAGACAAATATCACACAGATTTCTTAGGTTAAAGTATCTAGTTTTTAACTACAGAAAAACTATAAAATAACATTATATGGATAAAACATAACTTTAAAAACAGGTCTCTGCTATTTTTACATGATAAAAGAGCCAAAATAAGTGAGTGCAGACCTGTTTTCTCCAGCAACTTAATCATTTTGAAATTAAGATGCTTGCCTACAGACAAATTTTCTATATAAGACCTTTGGCAGTGGCTAAGGAGTAGGTTCATTTAAAAAAAAAGAAGAAGAAGTGCTTTACAGTGTAAAAGTACCTGTATGACGTTTTTCCCAATCATCAGTGAGAGCACGTAAACGCCAGAGATCTCCTCCTCGATCATCTTCTTCATCGCTCCCATGCTGAGAGGGTTACAACAGCTGTCACCTGGTGAACACATACATATTTACCTAATTATCATTTAAACAGTTTAGCTAAATCTGACTCACTTTACAGCACTAAATGTAGCAGATGTAGTGTATGTTATGTTGCATCAGCTTAAGCAGGTTAACCTCGAGGTTTTCAAACTGTGCGTAGGTGCAGAGGGAGAGACAGGAGGCAGTTTCAGTCAAAACTCACGCTCTAACAGTTATAACTCGAGTCAAATCTTAACACAGTATTCACATATTGTTATATTAACTGTAACTTACAGAGGGTGTCAACATCCATAAATCTGTTCAGAAGTCATAGAAAAAAGATGCTCCTTATGACTTCAGAACTTACCTTAGAATCAGCACATTTTTAACTTTTCTTCTGTGTTAAAGTAATTCAGCGATACTTTTTTTATACATCCATGGGCACATTGAAAAAAGGACCTGCTAAAAGATAATTCTGCATTCTTTTAATGGTAAAAATACAGACTTAAAAAACAGAGCTTAAGTTGTTGACCACTGACGATTATCTGAGTCCATGGCAACATTACACTCCCTGTTTACAGCCCACAACATTTTAGAAACGGTTCCAAAACTTGAATGATTATTCCCCAAAGAGAAGTAAAAGAAAAAGAATCCAAAGCATAATGACAGAGCTCCTCTGTGCCAGAGAGTAAAATATAAAAGAAAAAAAAAACATTACATGTATTACCTACTTCATCATAGACACTGTAGTTTATTTTGAGTCCCACAAACACTGTCCTGCTGCCATAAAGACTCACTAGACTCATGTTTGCTATGAAAGTGGAACCAACAGTCTTGTGTGTCATACACAGGGTAGGAACATTTAAAGTAGTGAAAAACATTGTAGGCTTTTGTCTTTTTGTAGGATTTATTGTGAAAAAGAAAAATATAGAGAAACACCAGCCTTCATCAATCTAACCTTATAAAAGGAAGACGAGCGAGAAGGTTTTTTTATTTTGTTTCTTTCACTTCCCATAACTGGGGTTTTCTAGCCATGGGAAAATGCATCTAGAAACCTTTCAGATATAAGCATGGTTCTCCAGCTCTAAGGCTACATAGCACACTTCATCTACCTCACATTAAAGGCTTTGTGAGGTCTGTATTTCCCTAGTACTTTTCTTATTGTAAAGAATTGATGTTTTTTTACTTTCATTTTAGATCTCTGCTATTTTACATAACAAAAAGAGCCAAAATAAGTGAGTGCACACCTGTTTTCTCCAGCATCTTAATCACTTTGAAATCAAGATGCTTGCCTACTGACAAATTTTCTTGGTAAGAGCTTTGGCAGTGGCTAGGGAGTAGGTTCACCTTTTCTCTTAAAAAGAGGGTCAAAATATGTGTGCATGCATAATGTGTTATCATGGGAGTAGCTGTCCTGCAGGATTAACTTTCCCTTTCTGATCTGATATGACACTGTTAGCGTTATGTCACATTATAAGTCTTGAGATCATCAGTTTTCTTTTATTTTCCTGTCTCATTATAACCTTAAGGTTATAACACAAAGGCGACACTTGAGACAAATGTTATCACAGATAATAGTATTATTAGAACTAGGTTCAAATTGTCTTTAAAAAAAACAGTTTTGTTCATAATTTCAACTACAAAACATACAACAGGTGAATATAATGTTTTCATCCTTTCAGTATAATAATGGGCAGTGCAGTCACTCACCCATTCCATGCCACAGCACCACTGGTATGGTCCCATTGTTGGAGTCGTGAATTTGGCTGCCAGCAGCCACCAGCACTGCACCGGCCAGGAGGAAACACTGGATGGCTGCTGTCATTCTGGATCCTGAAGAAACAAAGAGCAAGCATGCAATTCTTTCTATAGCACTTTTCAAAACTGAAGTTACAAAGTGTTTCAAAGAAATAAGACAAGATAGACGAGACAAGGCACACAATATAACACAAGATAAAAGTTGGACAATCAGAAAAAAAGCCAAAAGATGCTTTTCAAAGATGAAGCCTACACTGATTTGGCTTATCTGATCTGATTTTTACAATCTTAGCTGGAAAAGTGAGGACTGGATCAGTGATTTCACGTGGAGCTCAAACTTTAGCTTTTTACACTGGGTTCAACAATTTGGGCACAATTGCACATTAAAGTATCTGCTTACAATGGTGTGCTACAATGGTAAAACACATCGGTCAGTCATTGTGCAGAACTGAAACTCAGGTGTATTCATTTCCTGTTAGCGACAGTGCTTTCAATTCTTTATCACTGCATCTACACTGTCTCAGATACACCTAAAAAGTGTTAAAGTCGTGAATGTGCCCAGAAATTACATAACAACATATTTTAAATGGGTCAAAGAATCACTCATAAGTTAGCTCGAACAAGCTAAGAGCTCAGGTTTTTACATCAAATAATCAATGACCAAATACGTTTTTGGAACATGCAGTACCAGATTTAAGCTTTGACAGTGGTTAAAATCAAGCCAACATTCAAATACAGCACACCTTCCTTATAACAAGCCAAATTAAAGTTAAAACATTATGAATCTACGAACACATTACTCACCGCTTGTGAATCCTTCCTGTTTCTGTTGGGCTACTTGTTGTTGCATGATGATGTTTAGACTGAACAGCCAATCAGATTAAGGAGGCGGGGCTATACGCAAACAAAGGTCTCTGTTGCCAGATTGAGCGGTTTTCCTCTTATTTGAGCTAAGAATTGATCTGGGCTGGTTATTTGCTGGCTGGGCTACTTTTTGTAACACGAGGGCGATTTATACCCTACCTACGAAGAGTTAGGCTATAATATATAGCCTTTCAAACTGTAAGGGATACCTGGAGGGTGCATGTAGTTGTTCTTAAACAACCGGGGGTTAGTTATTGTAGTCAGGCCCACAAATCCCATAGTGTCTGATTGCAGCAGTATCTGAACCAACACACAGCCTACACACTTTCAGATTCAGTGTGGTTTACACTTTCGGGGTGGATGTTAATTGCATACTATCGTCCACAAACCCGTCAAGAAGTCAAGTACATTAACAAAAAGACGCTTCAGAACTTTGCTGAGAGTCATCAGGTTTTTAAATTTTCCTCACTATCAAAGTAATTCACTGATAGTTGTCAGTACATCCAATAGTACACTACAATTAGGAACTTTTAGTAGTGACTTCGGCGTACTTTATTTGCTTACGTCAAGAAACATGGATTAAAATTGCTCAAAGGCTCAAGTTATAGACCACAATGTAATTCTATGAATCACTACACTTAATATATTCACATTAGAGAATACTTTTTACGTTTAATGTACAATTGCCCATAACTTCTCATTTTAATAATATTTACACCCATATTCATTATATAAAAAATTAAAATTCAGCCCCTATTCCAGTCAAACCTGGCAACACAGAAGTGGGTGGTAATGTCTAACTTGTGAGGGTTCTTTTTAGTCTTCCTTTCTCTTTTCTTGTTTGAATCAATCCAACCTATGCTGATATTATGGTAATTTTAAGGTCTTGGTATCGTTTATTTCAAACCCCATGTGGATACGTTTGAGGTTTGACTTGGTATTTTATCACAGAGCTCCGCGCTCCAGCTGCTAGCTCATTAGCTTGCCATGCTAACTCGTTGCGAAAATCCTCAACAACAACAATCTTGCACGGAAGCGGATTATTTAGCTGGTTAGCTAAAAGTTGAAGACACCGGGCGATTTTAAGGGAAGCACAATAAATAAGGTTAATAAAATAAAGGATGTCGATTAATTGCGAGGAGCCTGCGTTGACAGGGAGTTACAGTGTCGTGGGGTCGTTTCCCAAAAGTTTTGGTTATGAGGTGGACGAAGCAGACATGGAGGAGAGCTCCACACCGGCTGATAAACCCAGGATACTGCTGATGGGGCTGAGACGGAGTGGAAAGTCATCCATCCAGAAGGTATTTTTAATTTTTATTAGTATTTAAAACCAAATAATAAATAAATAAATTGGAATATACCTTAAATTATATTTAGCCCACTACAAAAACAGATTCACATTAAACGTACATGTATAATATAAAACAGCCAATATGTTTTTTACTTGCAGTCTCTTGGAGAAAATTCTTGTGTTTTTTTTTTTACCGACATATATCAGTTTCAAAAATTATGTAAATCAAAATATGTTTCTGTTTTTGTGACAGTGTCAACAAAAAAATGAAAGTTGCAAGCTTGTGAAAACATGAAGTGGTCACTGAGTGTAGTGCATACGATGATGACCATTAGATTTCTCCATGTGTAGCACCATGTAAGATACTGAATCACCTGTTAAGTTGTGTAGTAGACATGCATTGCATTGGGCTGTAGTATTGTCTTGTTAAAATTATAACATTTTAGTGACACAGTATTAAGTTGTGCACCTTTTCCCAGGTTGTATTCCACAAAATGTCACCCAATGAGACTTTGTTCCTCGAGAGCACCAACAAAATCTACAAGGACGACATCTCCAGCAGCTCCTTCGTCAACTTCCAGATCTGGGACTTTCCTGGACAGGTGGACTTTTTCGACCCCACGTTTGACAGTGAGATGATCTTCAAGGGAACCGGCGCTTTGATCTTTGTCATTGATGCTCAGGTAGGATGAAGTGAATTGTACAGTTAAGGTTTTAAATGCTTCCTGTGTGAGATGAATTAACATGTCACCTCTTTCCTGTGCTGAACGTGTCTCTCCTACTATTAGGATGACTACGTGGAGGCTCTTGGGCGGTTGCATCTCACTGTGTCCAGAGCTTACAAAGTGAATCCAGACATCAACTTTGAGGTGTTCATCCATAAAGTAGACGGCCTGTCGGACGACCACAAAATAGAAACACAAAGAGACATTCATCAGAGGGCCAACGACGATCTGGCAGATGCCAACCTGGAGAGGGTTCATCTCAGGTGAGTGTCTGACATGTCTGCACAGGTTAGACAAGTTCTTACAGTTACTGAGGGTTTCAGAGCAGGATTTAGCTGCAGATCCTAGAAACCAAGTTATTATTTTTTTTTTAATTATCATCTAACAAGATGATCGTTTATGTTCTTTAGAGATCAAGAGAGAGAAATGTGTTGATACCAAACAACTGAGCGAACAAACTGCTGTTTTTATTTATTATAGTGTTGTTGAATCCACTGAAAAGAGTAAATCACTGTAGGGCAGCAGTGGAGATGACTATCACACTTTGAAATTAAGATATTGTGAATTCAGCCTTTTCGCCCAAATTAAATTCTGCTGTTTATTGTTAGTGACGTCAAATTATCTCAAATATAAACACCAGTATGTGAGCACCATTTCAAGAAAGCTGGATTCACCATCTCCAGCTCTTTTTCCTCGTCTTTCCCTTTCATTTATGTCAGTATAAAAGCACCAGAGGCGTGGAGTCAACATGAGCGTGCTGTTTGAACTGTCATTATTATCAGTGGTGTTACTTTCGGTTGCTATTTGGCGCGTTCAGTGTGTAAAATAACCCAGTGTTCCTTGCTCTAAAGGTGCACAATGTTTTTATATCAACAATGGATCAAAGAACCGTGTGTAATGTGAAAGGTGTTGCTCACAGTGAGAAACCAACAGAGGATTATCATAACTCCACAGTTTCTCTCAGCTGTACGGAACCAGCACGACAAAACTTTTCTGCCATCGGCCAAACAACAGATGGACAAATTTAGCAGTCTTATTCATGCAGGTATCCAATCAGCCAATCACGTGGCAGCAGTGCAGATACAGGTCAGGAGCTTCAGATAATCTTCATATCAAACATCAGAATGAGGGAAAAATGTGATCTCAGTGACTTCGACCGTGGCGCGATTGTTGGAACCAGACGAGCGAGTCGAGTGATTCTGAAACTGCTGATCTCCTTTGATTTTCACACACAACAGTCTCTAGAGGTGTGGAGAATGAATAAAAAAAAAAAAAAACATCCAGTGAGCGGCGGTTCTGCAGGCGGAAATGCCTTGTTGATGAGAGGACAGAGGAGAAGGGTCAGACTGGTTGGAGATGACAGAAAGGCCACTCAAATAACCACTCTTTACCACGTCGGGCAGAAAAAAAGCATCTCAGAATGATTAACTCGTTGAACCTTGAGGTCGATGGGCTACGACAGCAGAAGACCACGTCAGGTTCCACTCCTGTCAGCAAGGGCAGAAATCTGAGGTTGACAGTTGAAGTCTGGAAAGAAAGGTAGCCTGGTATATTCACTGTATAGACATTTTCAACAGTATATACTAGACTTGGTAAAATCATGGCACTAACATTGTATATTTTTTAGAATTAGTTTTGTTCTAGATTTTAATTATAATTATTATATATATATATATATATATATATTATATATGTTATTAGTTAAGATTATTTATTTATGTTTTTATTGTTACTCTTATCTACCTGTTTGAGTAGTCTTATATCATTTTGTGATTCTCCTTGATGTGTGATTTGGCTGCCGTAATAGAACAATGTATCTATCAAAGTATCCATCTGCAAGTTGTACGTAAGGAAGTCGATAGTAGAAAATGCATAAAGTAAAACAATAAAAAAGGAACAACACTAGAAAAAACTATATTGAGGTCTCATGGTGCTCTGCCCGTAGGTTTTCCCTTCCTGTATTGTATAACCCTAAGAGATGGACCTGTTTCTGCTTTTTAGTAGGAAGTTTTCTGTCAGACATTTTAATTACAGTGTTAAGTTTAACATGGTAATAATAATAATAATAATGATATTCTATCACTGTGAAATGGTTGGGTTGGTTTGTTGTTTTGTCCTCATTGTAAGCAGACATGGCGACACTTGTGTTGTGATGTTAAAACTATGATTTTAAGTTTCTTTCCCAACTTGTTTGCTGCCAGTGTAACTTTGTCTTAACTCTCCTCTCCTACTTCCCGTCCTCAGCTTCTACTTGACCAGTATCTATGACCACTCCATATTCGAGGCCTTCAGCAAAGTCGTCCAGAAGCTCATTCCTCAGTTACCAACCTTGGAGAACCTTTTGAACATTTTCATATCCGTATGTTGTTATTATTAAAGTAAAAGCTTTTTTTTTTAAGTGCGTCATATTTGCACATTGTCTTATTAACGTCCTTCGTGTTTTCCAGCACTCTGGGATTGAGAAAGCCTTCCTGTTTGATGTTGTTAGCAAGATCTACATCGCCACAGACAGCTCACCTGTGGACATGCAGTCCTATGAACTCTGCTGTGATATGATCGATGTTGTCATTGACGTCTCCTGCATTTACGGGTGAGAGGCGTTACACTGTACAAGTGTTGGCCAAGATCATATCCCTTTTTTATATTCAGAGTTTGAAGCTGCTTCTTGCTCTTGGCAGACTAATGGAGGGTGGCAGTGGCTGTGCGTATGACAAGGAGTCTTTGGCTATCATCAAGCTCAACAACACTACAGTGCTTTATTTGAAAGAGGTCACAAAGTTCCTCGCTCTCGTCTGCATCCTCAGAGAGGAGAGCTTCGAGAGGAAAGGTGGGTAGTTTTAGGTTTTATAAACAGCTAAGGCGTGTGGTTTGATTAGAAAGGATGTCCAAAATGTTTCTTTAACGTCTGAAACCGGCTACACGGAACTGTCTCCACTGCTCAAAGTGATGTTTGATCCTACAGTTTCATTTATAGTACGGCCACACTAAAACAGTCCGTGGTTTCTCTTTTGCTAGAGCCAAGTTTCTGCATCTAACCTTCTCTATGGTCACTGATTTTAAATGACAGTATAGCCGATCGCACGATACCGGTATTCTTAATCAGTATTTATGTTTATTTTGTGATCATAAAATAGTGGTTTCATTGACCTGTGAGTGAAGCAGCACAGGGATTACTGTTTACTTTGATTAACAGGTAGCATTTGTGCTATTTTATATTTAATATATGTTGTATTATTTTATATTTCTTTTTACTAAACTGTGAGCTACAATAAAACACAGTGAAGGGCAGGACTGGGCTGAACAGAGGTAGTTACCAGACTGTCCCACTCTTCACTACATTGTGGCCGTGATGCAGCATTTTGTTGTTTGCGACTGAAAGAGAACAACAAAGAGAGCATTTGAAGAAACAGTTCAACATTTTGGGAAATACTTATTTGCTTTCTTGCTGACAGTTAGTGAACATCCGTAGAAAAACCAAAGTGTAAAAACAGCTCCCTCAAGTCATGTTGTTACTGTGAAGTTGCAACCACCGGAGACCTCAGGAAGTTAGGAAATAGCACAGGACATACAGTATATCTTGTATATCTTGTGTAAAACTATAACATGCTGTTTTTTTTTTTTTATTGATTATGGCAATGTATTTATTAGAGATCATCCAACTGTCTTGAAGAACGTGAATAAGAAATAGTGAAAGCGTATTTCCAAAAGTGCTAAACTGTTTAACCATCATCCTGTTATTTTTTTCAGAGTGGATGGAGATCAGATAATTTTAGTGTGAAGACACAGTGTTTCCACATTTAGCCATCTTAGCCTGTGTACTCTAAAGAGATTCACTGATCTCAGGCTTCAAATGACTCATGTGATCTCTTTGCAGGTTTGATAGAGTACAATTTTCATTGCTTCCGAAAAGCCATCCATGAAGTGTTTGAAATCGGCACCTCAGCGGAGGGAGCTGTCTGGAGACCAGTGAGCTCGTCCAGCAACGGCCTGAGTGGATTAAAATTTGCTCCCCTGAATGGAAATGCTGTTTAAAGCGCAAAGAGGAGACAAGTGACAGGTGTAATTCTTTGGGCTACCTGACGTGCAGCGAGGCAGCACATTGTGGAGAACTAATATGAAAGCACACAAGCCTCTTGTCCTGTACATGTTGTCTCACTGTGTGCAGCTTAATGTGAATCCATTAGAGAAGCAGCTCGTGAACTCAGAAGGATGATAATGTAGCCTTGAACTTCCTGCATATGACTGAGTCACAGTTTGGAGGGCTGAAACAAGCTGTTGGGCTAAATCTGATCTACATGGTTCTCCTCTGGTTTTATATATATATATATATATATATATATATATTTATAGAACTAAACAACCCATTACTTTCTGCACATGTATTAGTAGTGAATTGTCAAAGATTCTGTCAGTTATGTTTACCTTCTTGGCCAGTTTATCCTGTGAACGCCGTAGTATAAAACTACTTGTGAAGATACTTCTGGTACAGTTTAAGTGCTTGCCGTCAAACTGAGCTCAGTGTAAACGCTCCATTGACTTGACCAGCTACATGGCGAACTGTAGTTCCACGAACTACACTTCACACTCTAAAACAGTACAAGCCTCTTTCAAGTTCCTGCTCGTTTTGCCTTGAATTATTGAGTTCTTTAAGTGGCTTTAATCCCCTGTATGAAAAACAAATCCTGTCGAGCACAGTGTTTGTTCTTCAGATTGTTTTCTGTTGATAATGATTCATGCGACCAGCGACCGGTGCTCTGCTCAGGATCTCCTCAGACCAGAACTGTGCCAGTTACACCATTAGAGCCTCGGTTGATTAACAAAGGGGTCGACAACACGATGGTCTTAATGCAGTCCGGACATAACTGATGCTTTTCACTCTGACAGCCTGCCATGCCTGCTGACAGCTGACTTTTTTCATGAACATATTGGCCAAATTTACTACACACATTTTGTTAGTAGCAACTGTTTTGCTTTTTTGGTGTGAACGCTGAGTGGGACCTTGAAGATTTATTTTTATTATTGTACGTAATTCTTTATTAAAATATGTTTCATATTTTGTTGACTCAAGCTTAAGTGTTTTTTTTTCTAAGTGTTTCTCATAATAATTATTTAACATTGTATCTCATAATTTTAAGAAACGTCCTGATAATTATGATATACTGAGATATAATTGTGTTAAACTCATTTTATGACTCAGTATCTTATAATTATAAGAAACTCATAAATATGAGAAACTATGAAACTACTTTAATGTTTTTCAAGTGTTTTTTTCTCATAATTATGACGTATTATTATGAGAAACCTTCTCATAATTGTAATTTTGAGCACTATCTCATAGTTATGAAATAGAAAGTTCAAAATCCACCATGTGACTTCTTTCAATATGAACTTTTTTTTCTCATTATTATGACATTATCTTATACCTACGAGATACTAATTATAAAATCACAATTTTGAAAAAAAACTTTATCATAATGGATACAGTGTTAGTTTATTGTCCACCACCTTTTTCAAAAATTTAACATCTAATACTTACAAGAAACTTTCTCATACTCATTAGATGCTCAATCTCAATTTTAAGATTCAAAGTTGGTTGAAAATCCACCACTTTACTATTCTCATGCCACCATACAGACGTCAGCCGTGACCAGAGGCCTGTGTTTTCGGGTTGTCCCTCCCTCCATCCCATTCTCGTGAACGTGATATCTCAGGAACACCTTTAGGGAACATCCTCAAATTTGGCAAATATGTTCACTTAACCTCAAGAAGAAGAACTGATCAGATTTTGATAATCACAGGTCAAAGGTCAACGTCGCTGTGATTTCACATCTGTGCCATTCTTGTGAACATGATATCTCAGGAACACCTAAAGGGCATTTTTTCAGTTGAGTTAATATATTGGAATTCAATAAATTCATCATTATTATTATTATTATTATTATTTTTATTATTATTATTAGCCATTTGGTTTAATTTCTCTTGAATCTGACGTATGCATATGCTTCCACCCTTGAACTGAGCCATTGTAGATGATGTGTTTGAACAGCAGATGGCAGCATATTTACATGTTAATATTCATGTTGGGATGCACTCATGCCTGTGCAATATTTCAGATTAGGAATGAAAGTTTATTTTTTCATCAGATCCTCCAGGAAGACCCAACAGTCCATCAAAAGCTCTTGCAAATAAGCATAAAAACGCCACACACATGAGGTGAAAGCCTTCATCACATCATAGTCCTCTACTGTACATCATGACTTAATGGGTGGTGGCAGGATGGAGCCGCAGCTGAAGCCTCTAATCGTCCCCAGACCTCCTGCTCACCACTGTGGAAAATGGAGGTCAACGAGCGGGAAAATGATATCTTGCTCTCTGGGATTTTTTTTTTTTTTTTCAAGATCTTGCAGTTTGCTTCTAACCACAGAAAAATTCATACAGCAGAGAAACCTCAGATGAAACACAAGATTTTAGAGTGAAAGACAATATGGAGAGCGTGTGAGGTTTAAAGCTGTTGGTCAGCATCTTTATCCATGTATGATGGATGTAACTGTGCTGAGACATGCCATATGGTAAAAGTTTATTTTAACCATTTATAACCAGCAGTTTACATAAACAATAAACAGTTGGGAACACAACATAATGTAGTTGTTAGCAGATATATGGCATTTTTAGGAATATGCAATGTTAAGTTTATATTATGATTGTGATATTTTTTTTATCATATTTGTTATTAATTCATTTTTAAAGTCTAAAGTCAAATATGACACCTTCAGGATCAACATGTCCTCATGAGTTTTTAACACATCTGTTTTAAACTCACCTCTGCATGATTTATAAACATTCAATAAATGCTTTATAATGTGAATAAAAATTCAATAGATGTTTAGATTTTAAAAAACACTTTATAACGTAAACAGCCAATAAGAAAGTACAACAAAATAAGATTTGAACATGTGTAAACAGCTGTTATACTGCCTTATCAATCATTTATTAACTGTTTATGCATACCATACATTTGTTGACAAATACATTAATAAGCAAATAAATGTCCTTATATCTGCTTACACTTACATTATAGTGTGTTGCAAACTATTTTTCATGTGTTAATACTGCCTATAAATGCTAAACATGGTACTTAAACTAAAATGTTACCCCTAAATGATTTTTATTGTGATATTACGCTACCACAGCTCCTATTACGAGATTATTATAGTGATTTTCCATTTAGAGAGATAATAAAGTGCTTTACATCAGCAGCTGGAAACCAGTGGATCCTCTACAGTCTATCATGTATTTAAAATATTTAGTTACATCCAAAAAACACAGAGTCTACCTTCTTTAAGCTTGAACTCCTCTCAAGGTGAAAGAAAGAAAGACAGAGGGGGTGGAACGACAGAGAGAGGAGGAAAGGGGCGGTGTTTTCAGAGAGCGGTTTGGTTTTACGCACCAGACACAGACGCTTCAGTCAGTGGAAATCCGTCAGTTCCAGCTCGCAGGAGTCCACGGAGGATTTAATTATCTGTCATTTCATACACCAGGGCAGCAGAGGCGAACAAACTGCTCCCATCCTGCAGAGACGGCGTCTCCTGCGAGCGTCTCCAGAGGCTGCTGATGCGCAAAGAGCGGTACGTTTACATTTATTTACGGGTTTATATCATAAAGAAATGGAACACAAATGCAAATTAGAGCGATGTAATGTGAAAACGTGGATGATAAGCACATTTAAAGTATGATCAGATGATTTTGCAGCAGTGTAATCTGCGGAGGCTTCCTCAGATCCTCACCTGTAGCCGCACCTGGTGCAAAATGGAGCTTTATTGAAGCATCAATTAGATGGTGAAAAATTTCTTCCCGTTTTCTAACCACTCCTGCACACAGCGGGGCTTTGAAGTAAACGGCACAACTTTTTACTGAGACACCCTTATTGAAGGGTCTATAGTGGCTTTACTAAGGGTTAACAAACACTTAAATAAAGCCTTATTGATCAGTTAAGACATTAATGAGAATTACCATTGGGTTGCCAGGTTGTGAAAACGCCCTGTGACTAGTCAGACCATTTCACCCCTTACCTATAAAAACGTCTTGCAGTGAATCTAGACTAGAGTCCATTAATTATAGATTTGATTTCTTATTGGAAACTGAAAATTTTGAAAATGAATTGCTACATTATAACATAATAATTATAGTAATTACCGAACACCTGCCAAAGGTATTTTTGCAACCTGGCAACCTAAAATGTGTCGTTACTGATGACTTGTATTTATCTATAAAGCTTTAGTAAAGTATTTTTTAACAATAAAGATATTATTAGTCATTTATAGAAAGAGTGCCTCATTAGAAAGTGGTACAAAATTACCAATCCTTACTGAAAGTGTAATCGGTTAAATTATGCAAGAGGTACATATTTCTAAGGCAAATATTTGACCCCCCACATCCAGGATGTGCCAGAAAGGATGTTCTGTCTTTAGAGTGAGGAAATAGTGGATGTTATTGGGGGGTTGGGGGCCTGATCAGTGTCCAAAGTGAGTAATTGATACTGTGGATAACCGCTGCAGCCCCGTTTTTGAAGTTGGATTTATGAGAAGAAGAACAAGGACACCTTTGAGGAAACAATCCCCTGCATGGCATGCCACAAAATAAAGCTTAACATGTTGACAATGAAAGCTCATAAAGACATGCTCGACACACGCACACACAAGTCTTTCTTCTAAGTTAAGAAGCCATTCAGTCTCATTGAGTTACAGTGATGTCATGTCTAGAGATTACAAATTTTGTTCCGGAGACTCAGCAAACCCCCGACCCTCACCCCCCGCCTCCCCAGCACCGCTCATAGTTTCCGTCACCACACACCATCCCCATACCACCACAATGTTCCAATCCATTTGGGTGAAATCAATACATTCATTGAAACAATTGCGCTCTGGTTGCTTTCTCCCCCTGAAGAAATGAGAATGTGTGTGTGCGTGTGCATTATTTTTGTTTCACACAGAAAGGAATTCCTGACTTTTGTCTTTTTCTTAGAAAACAGAGGGTGGAAGAAAAATCTTTTCTTCTTCTTCTTGTGTTGAAACCACACAGTTTTGCCACGTTTTGACCACAGTCACATTCCTCTGAAATTCTTGTGTTGGGCGAAGGTTGGGCCTGTGTACAATCACTGGAGACAAGCTAGAGACAAATAAAACAGTTAAAGGGTGATGATGTTGGATTGCTAAATGACTGACAGTCATAAAACCAGACCGTCAGGGACGTGAGAGTCTCATGAGTCAGTCTCACTCACATCACTGTCTTTTCCATTTCCTGTTCCTGTTGCACAGCCGGGGAAGAGTTAAAGGAATAGCTGGACATGTTGGGAAATGTGTTGATTCATTTTCTTGCAGACAGTTAAATGAGAAGTAGGATACCGTGAAGCTGTAGCCTGGATCTAGCAGAACATAACAAAACCTGACTAACGTTTATTTTTTTCAAGCTGCAATAAGTAATTTTTTGGCCACCTGTTGTATGTAAGTCAAATATTCACTCTCTTTTAGCTCTGTTTTTGGTCTGTACCAACTATAGATGAAACAAAGAGATATAATATGTTAATCAGTTATCTTTAGAGGTGCTACAAGGCATATTTTGTTACCTTTGGACAGAGCACAGTTAGCTGTTTCCACCTGTTTCCAGTCTTTATGCTAAGTTAAACTACCCAGCTGCTGCCTGTGGCTTCATATTGTACAGACATGAGAGAAGTGAATGATTCTTATTTTATTTAAGTCTGTTTGACAAACTATATTTAACTCTGAAAGATCTCAAATTTGTCTGCACTACAACTTCCACTTCAGTTTGAGGCTAATCTTTAAAAGTCTGCATGTCTTTCCATCCACGTCTGCAGTTGCTCAAATCCTCAAAATTATCCATCATATCATCAGGACTTGTTGCCTTTTCTTAGTTTCAGCCTGATAACCATGACTTGTCAGTGGAGTGATATCAGCCCTCAGCCATTCTGATTCTCTCCAACACAAAGATGAAGCGCTGAATCAA